AGGTTTTTGAGCTGATCTGGGGACATAGCTATTTACACCACATTGCAAATCCTCTGTTTACAAGTTTAGGAATACAACACATTTATTAAATGAATTTTTAAATTTATTTATTAATAGAATAGATTTTTAGCTAGGCCCATGTTCAGCTGTAATAAAGACTAAATTCCTAAGCTTCCCTTGTGCTAGATCTGGCTGTGTGATGAGTCCTGGTCAATAAAATGTAAGCAGAAGTGATATGTGCATTTTTAGAGAAGCGTTTTTAAGGAACGAGAGAAGGATCTTTTTCCCTCTTCCCTCTTCTTGCTGACTGGAATGGGATGTAATGGCTGGAGCTTGAGCAGCCATGTTGAAGTATAAGGTAACCTTTGGAATGGAGACCACACCTAGGAGTATCTGACATTTCAGAGTGCCACTTAGCACTGAATTTTTTACCTTCTCTTACAGCCAAATTGTATCCTAACTAATACACAACCTTACCAAATTGTTTGAATTTAAGTGCACCAACAAGAGTCACTTAATTAGGCAGAATTGCTTATAGTAAGAAAACTCACAACAGTGGCACATGGACATGGTCTTGCTAAGGTTTTGCTGCTGTTTATACTCATTCATAATCTACAATATAAAGAGTCATGTGAGAAAAAGATTAGAGTATGACTATAATTTTATAAAAACTATATAAAAAGCAATGCATAGAAGAAAGATTAGAATAGTATTTGTCTTGGATGTTCCGAGGAGTCCTCTTGAGGTGAGATATGCATGATTAGGAGCCAATTATGCAAAGTAAATGAATGAACGAAGATGAATGGATAGATGGATGGATATGCTCAAAGTTTTAAGTTTTAAAAAGGTTTTAAGGGGCCAGCCTTGTGGCCAAGCGGTTAAGTTCACGCGCTCTGCTTCATTGGCCCAGGGTTTCGCCTGTTCGAATCCTGGGCACAGACATGGGACTGGATCATCAAGCCATGCTGGGACGGCATCCCACATGCCACAACTAGAAGGACCCACAACTAAAAATACACAACTATGTACCGGGGGACTTTGGGGAGCAAAAGGAAAGATAAAAGCTTTTAAGTTTCAAGTTTAGAAGAGTTTCATTCTCTTATGTGCATTCGTAAACAAAGAGAGAGTACATAAATAAAAATGCTTCACAATTAACTTTAAAAACAGAGGACTGGTTGTTGACCCGGGTCAGTTGGTGGCACCTGAAGAAGAGATGGAGGGCAGAAGGAAGGGGTGCAGTGTGGAGGTTCTCTGTGGCCCAGACTAGTGCTGGACCTTGCCTAGCAAAAGGGGGGGTGGAGATGGAGGTGATAGTCAGTCCACTCTCTGAAAGAAGGACCCTGAGGAAGAGGAAAGAGGATCTAAGAATCTCTCCAGGCAAGGACTCCCAAGAAGGACTGATCAGTTCTTGACAGTCTAAAATGATGGCTCACAATGACTCGAGGTCGTCTTCAAAGAATCCTCTAATTTAGGAACTAGAAGAAGGTGTTTAGTGAGTGGCGGCGGGTGATGATAAGCAAAAAGATCCTCCAATTCTAAATATCATGCAATTTTTCTTTAAAACCTGTACACATATTTGAGAAATTAAAACTTCTCTGGATTTAGATTTGCAATTTCTAATAATACAACAGTAAACCCTAGAGACGTTCTACAAGATCCAGATTCAAATTCAGCAGCAACTGAGGCAAAAAACGAAAAAGCAAAAGAAAAGCAGTTATATTCTGACTTAGAAACTTTATATTTCATTAAAAGTCAGTAAGAAAAAATCTTTGAACTTCAACAGCTCTAATAAAAGTTAAATACATGTACAGAAAAAGAACAAAACATACAACTATTAAATATAATTGGACCATATTTACACGTTGAACTATTTAATATAGGGACCTAGGTACCAGGGAAGCTGTTTTTCTCATTTCCTACTTTCTTCATTCCTATGACAAATGCTTATTGAGGGTATACTGTGTGCCAGGAACTATGACAGGCACCGGAATTATAATGATGAGTGAGACACAGCCCCCTCAACAGTCGTACCCTCTGACCTGGGAAATGGTAAAGAAACAGCGATTTCCATACAGTATGACTGGTGCCATGATAGTTCTAAAGACAGGACACACCAAGAGCACAGAGGAGAGGCACTTCTCCCAGACTTTCAGAGTCATTACAAGCCACTGTTCTGGTGGTAACGTGAGCTTGATACCTGAAGGACAAGCATAAGTTATACAAAATAGAGGGAAGAAACACATGCAAAGAGCTCGAGGAAGACATTTGTGGAACTAGAACTAGTGGTCTAGTTTGGTGATTCAAAAATGTCAGCTATCAGCCATAGTGTTTCTTGACAGCTATTTGGACTTTAAAGTAATTGCCTGACTAAATGCCACTAGATGATGGTGACTTTCTGGCTTTATATCATAATGTAAACATAATGAGTTGATAACGCCTCGTATTTTCAGAGAACAGTTTCAAAGTGCAGATTGACAGTTTCATAGGGAAGACAAAAGGAAATGAAAAGTATAGCCAGAAATAGAAAGGCATACATAGTGACTTTTTTTTTGAGAGTTTAAATACTCTGAAAGATCATGAATACATAAGGAATAATTCCATTTTTCAAAATGTATCAATGTATTTAATTAGATGTGTGTAGGACAAGATATTTATAACATTGTGTCTGTTATTAAAACAATAGAAAGGGATGCCATTTACTATTTATAGTTTATCTCAGAAATCAAAGATATGTAAATTTACTTCCCGTATTCTGTCAATATACCTTCTTTCCACTTCCTACTCCTTCGAAATAACAGCCAAATATAATTTAATCATATTTAAGAGATAATAAAGTAGGAATGATAAATTCAAACACCATTTTAGGGCTCAGGACTCAGAAGGTTCCAACTTAGGCCCATGCATAATAAAAAGATAGGTCATCAAAACCTTTCTTAAAAAACAAATCAAAACCAAAAGTGACACATGCAATTGGGGTAGAGAGAGAGCAGTTTCTTTATTCATTTTTAGGATTAAAAGAGAGAAATCCTGATGATGGAGTTCATGGTGACTGATGTTTTAGAAAGCACAGGTTAGAAAGTATTCATTTACGTCTTTGAAAGTAATAGCAAGACTTACTTATCAAACTTAAACTGAATTCATAGCCCTCTGAACATATTTTGACTTTATCTCTGAATTCATTTGACTGTTGACCAGTCTTTGAGAAGGGTGTTACGGTACAAAGAGCATGGACTGCTGAACCAGATTGACCCAGACAGGAAACTCTGTCCCGCTGCTTGTCAGCTATGGGATGTTGCCAAAATCATCTAATCTCCCTGGGTCTCTTTTCTTATGTGTAAAACAGGAATACTTATTTCTGACACAGGGTTGTTGTAAACTTAAATGAAATAAATATCTAATGTGCCTGGTATTGTCAGACCCTCAATAAACTTTTGCCAAGTGAATTAATATTAATCCAATAGGTTAGTAATATTTAATATTATTTGAGATTTTTGACTCCAAAGGTAACTTTTTCCCCTTTTTTTGTTTTTAGAATTAAATAAATTTTTTTTTAGTTTTTATTTTTTTCAAAGATTGGCACCTGATCTAATAACTTGCCAATCTTTTTTTTTTCTTTTTCTCCCTAAATCCCCCCAGTACATAGTTGTACATTTTAGTTGTGGGTCCTTCTAGTTGTGGCATGTGGGACGCTGCCTCAGCATGGCTTGATGAGCGATGCCATGTTGCTGCCCAGGATCCAAACGAGCAAAACCCTGGGCCGTCTAAGCGCAGTGCAGGAACTTAACCACTCGGCAACAGGGCCAGCGCCCTAAATAAATTTATTTTTATTTAATTTTTGGGAGTGCCAAAATCTGGGAATAATCAATTTCAAAAGAGATTCAATAAAAGGGAATCAGGAAATACAGTCAATGATCTCCCTCTCTCTTTTTTGTTTTTCTTGCCTTAAACAACAAATTTATTTTCTCACAGTTCTGGAGGCTAGAAGTACAACATCAAGGTGTAGCAGGTTTGGTTTCTTCTGAGGCTGCTCTCCTTGGCTTGCAGATGGCCACTTCCGCCTGTGTCCTCATAAGGTCTTCCCTCTATGCCTGTGTCCTTTAATCTCCTCTCCTCTAAGGACATCAGTCATATTGAATTAGGGCCCACCTTAATGACCTCATTTTAGCTTAATTACCTCTTTAAAGACCGGATCTCCAAGTACAGTCACATTCTGAGGTGCTGGGGGTTGAGACAACACGTGAATTTTGAGGGGATGAAATTTAGCCTGTAACGCCTCTCTACCCTGCCACCTGTTTTAGCAACGGCTTTTTCCGCCTTAAGATGCTTCCATGTAGTTTTGGGAAGGGTAAAATACTTAGTTGTTATATTTTAGTTATTAAAAACAACTCTGTTAAAGAAGCACACAGTGAATACTGACACTTTAATCGGCCGTCCTGGACTCTCTGGGCCTGGGGCGGGCAAGCAGGTGGCCAGAGCCAAGTCAAAAGGGACTTGCTAGGGCTGGGGATGAATGTCGCGGCCAGCTGGGAAAGCAACGCCGGTCAGCGGGTGGCCCGTCCAAACACGGCCTGTCAAACATATCTCAGACCCAGTTTACTTATAGATCTTGCAGGTGATTCGGTGACGTTCGTGCTCCTGATTACTGGCGAGCTACCCCTGGTGCGGAACTTCAGTCTACACAGCGCTTTGACAGGCTTTGTCTCTCTTATCCTCCTGCCACCGGGGGAGGCGCGAGGAGACTTCTCAGCGGTCAACTCTTTCCTCTGCCCACACTCCGAAGAGGAAAGCGGACCCTCGCACGGGCGTGGGACTCGCTCCTGGCACAGCTGCCCTGCTAGGCCCCGGGCACCCACGCGCAGGGCTCGGCCTCCCGCGCCGACCTGGACGCAGGCGCAGTAGCGGAGCTGTCCCCTCGGAGCTCCTCCGGGGAGGCCTGTGGAGCCCCCAGGCGGCTGCGTCAGCGCGCCGGGCAGCGGGAGGCGGGGGTCTACGTCACTCGCCAGAGACGGCGCCTGCGCGGGCTGCCATGCTGTCGGCTGGGCGCCGGGTTGCGATCGTGCTACAGCTGAAGCGCCTGCCGAGGCGGCCAGGGCACGGGGGCTGTTCACTCCTGCGCGGCCTCGGGCAAGAGCCCTTCTTGAGAGCCCGGTCACTGTGTTGCGATTCCTCGCCCAGAGACACACGAGATGGAGAGGGAGAGCGCGAGGCCGCACAGGGGAAAGCCCCCAGCGCGGAGTCGCCTCCATCTCTTCCTCCGCGCGTCCGGGGCTTTGGGACCAGATGTCTTTCGTCACTGGGAAGGCTCAGGCTGCAGATGCCGCAGGAGGAGTCACCCCCTCGAGAGCGCGAGGACTCGAACGGAGACCAGGGCCAGTGCTGTCCCGCACACCGGGGATCCGGGGGTCCTTTGCTGCCCGCCCTGGCCCAGTCCGCGACCGAGGTAGAAGAGCTTCACGTCTCCTCTTCCTGGTCAGCTCCCAGAGAGGGGCCCTTTCGGGCTGGGGAGCTGATCTTAGCTGAGACTGGGAAGAGAGATACACGATTTAAAAAATTGTTTAGGTTGAGCAATGCCGGACACTTAAATAGTAGCTGGGGGACAGTGCCGTTCAGCGAGATCGTGGGGAAGTTTCCCGGCCAGATACTGAGGAGTTCCTCTGGTAAGCGTTTCATGCTGAGGAGGCCGGCACTGGAAGACTATGTATTACTGATGAAAAGAGGGCCTGCCATAACGTATCCAAAGGTAATGCGATGGGAGTTAGTGCGTACAGTATTGGTTCCAAAAGGGCAAAAGTGATGCATTTCTACATCCTGATTCATGTACTTAAAGCACATCTCAGAACATTGAAAGTTTTTATGGTTCTCAGCCTTTTTTTTTTTAAACCAATGGATATGACTTTTACATTTCTTATTGCTAATTTTAGCAGGAAAAAGCTAGATTTTAATTTTAATTTGAGAGTCTTGATTATCTTATCTGTAAAGTGAAGAGAATATCAACTTATTATATAGAGTGATGTGGACTCACTAGGCACATAATAAGTACTTACGTTTCTTCCCCATAATTCTTACCATTTGCAAGTTGAGCACACAAGAGAATGTTGAACTCCTTTGGGAACAATTTTTTAGTACCTTATGGTGATATTTTAGTCATCATATTTAATAAGGTATGTTACTAGAGGTATATTTTACCAAAAATAGAAATATTACTGTGCCTTTCCCTTTAGGAAAAAAATAGAGTTTTGTATTAAAACAGCAAACGTTAAAGACTAAAAATAAAAGGAATATTCTTTATAAATAAATTATCTAGTTCCTTGTTACAATCTTATACTAGTGGTTTTTTCAGTCCTTAATCACAGTCACAGTCTTTGAGTAGAACGTTCGTTTGTAATTGTGACAACTCCTCTTGTCTCCAGATGAGGATTCATTTATTATTTATTCAGCAAATATCACCTACCTTCTATATTCGGGGCATTATTATAGGGAGATATAGTGGTGAACCATAGTCCTTGCTCTCAACATAGACCTTACATCCTAGAGGGGGTGACAAAGAACAAACGAGTAAAGGAAAGAATAAGATAATTTCAGGGAGTGTTTAGTGGCATGAAGACAAATAGATTAATAATGACATTGTGTTGGGTGGCCTGGGGGAGAATAATACTTTATGTCACTTGGTTAGAGAAGGTCTTGAAGGAAGTACATTTGATAACCCTAATTATGGAAGACCAGCCATGCAAAGATCTAGAAACCAAGCATTCTTGCAAAGGGAAAAGTATTGCAGAGATTCTGTTGTGGTATGAGATGTGGTTGGAGGGATGAGAGTATTTTATTCCATGTGCATTGCGTGACCATTGGAAGTTTCTAAGTAGAATCCAATTTGTATTTTAAAAGGTCTACCTAGGGACTACCAAAACCTTCCCGGAGGCTTTACATCAGTGGGATATCATAAGGTCTTGATGGAAACTTTGCCCTTGTTTTAGTGTATCTCTTCTCTTTCCTCTTTTGACTGTTACAACCTAGCCATAAAAAAAGACTTTGGTAACTTCATTTTGCTTCCCCATGTCTTTTTTCCTCTGTGCTAGACAAAACCGTGAGAGAGTAGTTGTATTTTATAAAGTTATAAAGGTAAATCTTCAGTGCACTTTCTGCTCTTCCATTTATCACAGATAAAAGTCACAGTGTTCCGTTCTAAGGAGGGATTTAAATACTGGACTTGCTAGGTGTTGACTTCTTTGACCTCCCTTCTTTGACCTCCCAAGTGGTAGCTGCAGGAGATTTGATTTCAACCTTTTAAAGCTTTTTTTTTTTTTTTTTTTAAGATTGGCACCTGAGGTAATATCTGTTGCCAGTCTTCCTTCTTCTTCTTCTCCCCAAAGCCCCCAGTACATAGTTGCATATTCTAGTTGTAGGTCCTTCTGGTTGTTCTATGTGGGACGCCGCCTCAGCATGGCCTGATGAGCAGTGCCATGTCTGTGCCCGGGCATGAACCAATGAAACCCTGGGCTACTGAAGTAGAGCACGCAAACTTAACTACTCTGCCATGGAGCTGGCCCCAACCTTTTACGACTTGGAAATGCTTTTTAAGGGAGTACTTCAACTGATTTTTGAAAGTTGATCTCTGCATTAGAAGTACATAGTTTTATCTTAATATTAAAAGTGGGTCTGTGGGAGCAATTTTAAATAAACTTCCTAACAGATGCTTGTGAAACGTCAACATTTCACATTGGTCAATATCAAATGATATTTTAGGTTGGAGTAGAAGTATAAATCACAATACTCCTCCAATTTTTAAATTAATCTTCTCTGGGGATTTGCATGATTATAACACTTATATAAGGACACTGGGGGAGTAGAAATTGTTGCCACTTAATGAAGACAAAAGTGTAGCCCAAATATTAAGACCTTAGGCTGAGGGTTAAATTTACATTATTGAGTTAATCAGCAAAGAGATTGGAATTCCTGCTGAGAAAAAAAAATGTAAGTCTAGAAGGTTTGTCTGAATGCCTGAAATTTTAAAATGCATAGAAAACTTAATGGTAGAGTGATGTTTCATAACTTTGGAGGAGTTTCCCAGTAGCTTCAAATCTCTTTAGGAAAGAGGCAGGGAAATGAATAAATGCTAATGTCCCACCCGTTTTGGACTGAAATTGCTGGGATCTATTTAGTGGGGTCCCACCTAGAAAATTCATCCCATTGAGACCATGTAACCTGAATGGCAGGAAGCAAATGCTAAAGTGTGCTCAAGTTTCTTTTTTTATAATGCTATAAGATACAGGTTTCTGTATCCTTATATGAAAGATCCAAGAAAATAAAAGTGCCTTCTCTAGGATATTCCATTGAGATGACTACTCAAGCTGCCTCCCACTCCTGGGTGAAGTTGTCTGTGCCCCCATGTGCCTGGCACTTAGGAAAGGCTAGCTATGTCTGAAAGACTCAGCATTTGTGAATGAAACTAATACATCTTAAAAACTACATTTCTGCATATCATTTGGTCCAACATTTCAGAAAATACATTTTGGCTTTTAAGTAGACAAGTGTACCTGTTAAATATTTCCTTACAGACCTGAACCTTATATTTAATACACGACCTTGTGGTGACTTGACAGAAGGATCCTAGAAACCTTCCTTCTTTTAGAATTTTCATAGCAGGTTTTCCCAGAGAAGGAAAAGATAGTAAAAACTTATCAGATGTGCTGTTTATTAGCAACTTTGAAAGGTTTGATATTGGGGGAGTGTTGAAATAAATGGTAAGATTTAAAATTCTCTGTGTAACACTTGGTATAGTGTAATGATCCCAAATGGTCTTTGGGAGTTTGACATCGGTCCTACTCCTGACTTGCCCGTTTAATTCCTGGCTGTGTGACGTTCAGCAAATTATTTAACCTCTTTCACTTCTCATATTTATAATGGGGGTGATGATACTTTACTCATATTCTTATTCTAATTAAACAAGATAATATGTGAAAGCAGTTTGCATAGTTATAGAAGCCTAGTATGTGGTAAAGTTTCAATAAACAGCTCTTGTTACTTCATCCATGATATTCCTGTTAAAACAATTCTTCATTTATAGCGTTTGGCAAATTGGTCCTCCTGTCTGTTCCTAGTACCCTAATTCTAAATGAGAGTTAATCATTTCATGCAGAGATTATGTAATAACTTCCTAACTGGTCTTTTGTCTCTAATTTTTCTCTACTCTAGTATATCCAGTATTCCCTTGATAGATTAATCTTCACAAAATGCCTTTTCTATTACCTTGATGATATACCCCAGTTACTCACCAGGTCAAGTTCAAATAAGTTCAAGTCTCTCCTTATCTCCCCTCCTGAGCCGAATGGGCAAACTGTATTTATTCTCCCTCTGTTTTGTTTAAAGCTGTTCCTACCTTGTGATTGTTTCCTTAAATTCTCCACTCTAGGTGTTTGAGCTAGGGCAGTCTGCTGACTTCTTTCTCTGAGCTTCTTTTGTACTTATTGTCTATAATTTCAGTATTATACTGAAGTGCTGTTTTATTTGCTAAGTGATTCTTGAATCTCTTATTTCATCAAGTATAATGTAAACTCTTGGAAGGCAGGGCCAGAGTTTAATCCTTTTTTTTCTACTCCTTTCTTCTCCACGTCCAACATTGTGTTTGATACATATTTATTGGTCACTGAGTCACCCATACTGTGTTTCACTCATAGGATATGAATATGATACTGTTGATGATGAATATCCACCCAGGTGATACTGTTTTGGAAGCTGGCTCGGGCTCTGGTGGAATGAGTTTATTTTTATCCAGAGCAGGTAAGAGATTGGGATAATTAAGCTGAATTTAGATGACAGAGAAAACATTCAATCTGTTCGTAATAACAGAAAGTTAAGTAGATAAAGATGTTTGGCAAAGTATTCACATAACTTTGTGATAGAGAGCATTCTCCTTGAAACCAAACATAAGCAACTATTTTTCTTTCCATTTTTTACATTTATTCCAGTCACTCTCGTTCTAACCCTATTTTCTTTGCTTTTGCTTGCTCCCTCCTTGCTTTTTAATGCTTCTACCTTTTTTAAAAAACTGAACTTTTTATTGGAGCATAACATAGCTACAGAAAACTGCACAGATTATAAGTGTATATCTCAGTGAATTTTTATATAGTGATCATACTTACATAGTAATTACCCAAATCAAGATAGGAACTGTTACTGCACCACTCCCCTCTCAGTCCTTATCCTCCCCAAAGGTAACCACTACTCTGACTTTTATCATCATTGATTAGTTTTGCCTATTTTGAACCTTATATAAAAGGAATCATACAGTATGTACTCTTTTGAGTTTGGCTACTTTCATTCAACATTCTGTTTGTGAGATTCAGTCATTCCATGTAACAGTAATTCTTTCATTTTAGTTGCTATATAGTTATTCCACTTTATAAAGAAATCACAATTTATCCATTCTGCTGCTGATGAGCATTTGAGTTGAATATTATGAATAGGTACTGCTCTGAACATTCTTGTTCTTGACTTTTGGTGCACATATGTACATTTTTTGGTTAATAATAGCACCAGATGAATACTTAGTACGAGAGAATATAGAAGGAGAAGGCCTGTCAGCTGCTGGGAAGGATCATATACTATTAAGGGCAAAGAATTATAATTGGTGTTCATAAATAAATAATCAAAATACAGAACTAGTTAAGTTAAAGCTAGATCATGAAGAATTTTCCTTTCTTTAAGAAAGTCTTTAAAAATTGTCAGTTGGTACAAGTACTGCTAAAAGTAATGCTTGAAGGTAGCACCTGATCAAAAGTCAACAGGTAAATAGTAAACATAAATATCTGTTCATGTTCCCACCACTTGATTTCTGGTTAGTGTTATCCTAGTTGCTTATTGCCCCCTTTGACCACTTACTCCTCTGAGTGTCAGGGTTGCTTTGACTGGTCTGGCTGCCTGTGCAGTGTTCCCCTCTTCACTTAATAGTAGATTGCTGAACAGTGGCAGCACTCTCTTTGGGTAGATTTTTGTTTTTTAATCATTCATGTTGTTCTTTATTTGTGCATTCTTTTTTAACTAATCAACTTTGTTGGAGCAGTTGTAGGGTAGAGCAGTATATGGGTAGATTTTATAAAGATTACAGATAGAAATATACTGAATTAAACCTAAACCTTTTGTTCTTTGACCTAATGCCATCACATACAAACATAATCCAGCTTATAATATTGTCAGGCAATTCATTCTAGGCTCCTCAATTCGTTTGTCTTACTCTTTTCTGTTCATAGTTAAAGGCAGTCATTTCTTCATAATCTGTGACAGATTCCAAAATGCTTTCGACAAAGTAAATTTATAAAAATTTGTCAGGCAGGAGGAGTGCCCATATTTCTAATATCTGCAGTATCAGAGGAGTATCATGGCATGAATGATCCAAAACTATGAGTGATCAAGAAATGATTGCTGTTTACACCTTTGGATGGATTTTTTCCCCCATAAATTTCTTTTCCACTTGTTTAGCTTATGCTACTGTTAACATTAATTTTTATCCCTTGAGAACAGGATGACTTGCAGCTGGAGTTACATTTCAAAAGACATCTTGGAATTTAAACTTTTCATTAGTAAACTACAGACTGATTGTCCTGAGACAGCCTCCAAATGGTATCAGATCACCTCAGATAGAGGTGGTGGAAAATTAATTGCCTTAAGTTAAAATGCAGTAGTCTTCTGTGAAACTGTAGTATTACTATGCTAAAAACTTTGAAAGTTCTTCAGACACACACAAAAATACATATATCTTTAAATATATGAAAGGCTTTACAGCATCCATAACAAAGGAAATGCAAATAAAAACTACAATGAAACTATATTCAACTTTTAGATTGACATAGATAAAGTTTGATAACTCTTTGTTGGAGAGAGTCTGGAGTAATAGGCAATCTAATACATTGTTGGTAGAGTGTAAATTGGTATCATTTTTGTGGAAGACAATTTGGTAGTAATTTTCAAAATAAAAATTTCGCATATCCTTTGAGCGAGCAGTTCCATTTTTAGGACATTATTCTATAGACATGCTGGCTCATGTGTACAAGAACTTAGGCACAATAATTTTCATTGCAATATTGTTTGAAATAGCATAAGACTAGAAACAAGCTAAATGTTCATTGGTAGGTAAGTGGTTAAATAAAACTATGGCATAGCCATATAGTGGAACATAATAGCTGTGAAAAAGAATACGTTAGATCATTAATCTAGTAGTATTGGTAAATAAGGAAGGTACAGGGCAGTCTATATAACATGTCACAATGAGTGTTAAAAGCAGACAGAGCACTGCCTATCTTGGGAAGGGTAAATAACTGGTAATATGGTTGCCTCTGAAGTGGGAGATTGACTGGGGATCTGGGATAGGATAGAAACTTTTGTAACCTTGAACTATTTGAATTATTTTTTCACATCGCATGTAATACCTTTGCAAAATAAATTTTTGACATTCTTTTATGAACTGATTAATATTATGAAATATCATAAATTATCCTTTTCAATTAAGTTGGATCACAAGGAAGAGTCATAAGTTTTGAAATACGAAAAGACCACCATGAACTGGCTAAGAAAAATTACAAACACTGGCGTGATTCATGGAAAATGAGTCATGTAGAAGAGTGGCCAGACAATGTGGATTTTATTCATAAGGATATTTCAGGAGCAAGTGAAGACATAAAATCTTTAACATTTGATGCGGTAAGTTTTTTAAAGTGGGTCCTATGATACTACATAATACTGAGTACAAATTAAAGAAGGATCATACTTCTTCTCTATGGATATGGATCTTCCTTCATTATTTGCCCCACTTCTATCTCTAGATGTGGGAGGAATATTTTCCTTTAATATGATGATGGGATTTAGAGCAGAGAGACATACTGAATCAAGTACATACTGAAAGAGTTGTTAATAAATGTGGGGTAATGACCAAATACTAGGAGCAGTAGTTAAGCATCGTGGACCTCAGCATTTTTGGGATAAAGGAATAATTTGGAAGCAGCAGGTTCCAGTGCCTAACCTCATGTTATGAGATTTGGGAGAATAAATAGCCTCTATTTGCAAGGAAACAGGCAAGGGCATCTTTAAGCAGTTCAAGTCAGGATGTAGAGGAGTATTCATTAAAGATGTTGAGGATAGAAGCATTTATTATGAACAAAGCTCCAGAAAGTGGAGTGGAAGGATTGGTGAGGAAGAGGAGCAGTGGGAGATTGAGTTATGGGAGAAGCAGCAGAGTAGTATCGAGGTAAAAGGATAGATGATGAGAGGATGACGTTTTAAGCTGTGACCAGTGATGGTGGAGATGTGGGTCTTGGAGGGTATTGTTGGCTTCAGAGTTTCAGAATTCTAGGATAAGTTGTCTTGTCCTTGATGATGCCATTATCAGTTCATAGCTTGACACTATGGACTGAAGTCTGGTTAAGGAGTGTTCTTTACTTTTTTTAATTTGCTGTTGGAAGATGGATTATTTTGGGACCTTTGTAAGGGAAACTAGGTGGGAAACAAAGTAAAGTTCAAAGAGATTTTTCTCGGGCCTGGTTCACATCTTTAATTTAACTAAAACCTATAATTTTAGTGGCACAGCTTCCTGGACACAAAGACCACAGTTCTTTTTCCACATCCTTGTTTAGCTTGCATATTATAAGTCAGTAAAGGCAAAAAAAGGAGAATTGCTCTGCATAGGCCATCCATAGGAATGTCACAGACACCTAGGAGGTTAACTGATCATCAGAATTTTGCTTGATGAGCATGAAACACAACAAAGGATTTTAACAATATCATTGAAGCTTTGTAGAAACCTGCTGAACCATCTCATCTAAAGGAAAGAATACTCCTTAGTAGATTTATTGAGTTAAATCTCTCTTGAATAATACTACCAGATGAATACTCAGTATGAGAGAATATAGAAGGGAAGAGAGCTGTCAGCTGCTGGGGGAAGAGTCACTCCCCAGCAAAAGGGCAAAGAATTGTAGTTGGTGTTCATAAATAAATTAACCATAATATAGAACTGTTAAGTTAAAGCTAGATCATGAAGATTTTTCCTTTCTTTAAGAAAGTCTCTAAAAATTGTCAGTTGGTAAAAGTACTGCTTGAAGTTAGCAGTTACCCAAAAGTCAAGAGATGTATATTACACATAAATTTCTATTCATGTTCCGACCACTTGATTTCTGGTTACTGTTATCCTGGTTGATCATTGCTCCCTTTGACTACTTAATGCCTCTCCTAGATGCCATCTTCACACTTCCAATCCATTGTCCTCATCTCTAGATTAGTCTACTTCTGGCACTGTTACTCTCCTGCTGAAAAACCAATTATGATCTTTTCATTCAAAGACTTATGGTGTCCTTCAGAATCTGATCTCAACCTTCCTTTCTTCTCTAGCCCTTTATGTAAGCTGCCTATACTCCTGCCATCCAAAATAATGGTAAATGAATAAAAAAGTTGTTAAACCACAAAGACTAAGAGAACAGAAGAAAGAAAAATGGCTAATAAAAGATTTTAAACAAATTTTAGAAACAGCCTAACCATCAGAAGAGAAATGGACACAGTGGAATACTAGCAATAGTATTATTTAACATAGTGAAATAAATGTAGTATACATCAATAAATCTTTAAAGACATCGTGCTTATTGAAAAAAGCATTATAAAAGAATATGTATGGAATGGCCACATATATGTAAAATTTTAAACTACACAAAACAGTACCATATGTTGTTTGTAGCTATATACATATGTTGTAAAAGTATAAAATTATTTAGGAACATTAAACTTCAGGACAATGATTACCTCTGAGGAGAGAAAAGGAGGGGTGGGGGCATAGAAGGAAATAAGTTTTGGAGTCCATTCAGCCTGGGTCACTCCCAGGCTCCATAAGAGCCAATATGACCTTTTGTGCCTCAGTCACCTCATGTATTAAACAGAAATAACAATAATAATAGTACTTATTTCATAGAGTTGTGAGGATTAAGTGAGATAATTCATGTAAACCACATAGACAAGTACCTAGTATATAGTAAGCATTAAATAAATATTAGCTATGATTTTCATCATTATTATTTTATCTCTGTTTCCCTTTTCTCCACTTGTTTACATTCTACTCTTTCTTCAAGGCTTAGATCAAAGGTCTCCTCCATGGAATATACCATAATCATCTAACTGGAGGACTATCTTCCTCTGAATTACTGAACCACTTTGTTTCTTGATTCAACAAGCATTTATTAAAGACCTGCTATATGCCATGTACTAGGCTAACACAAAAATGAATTATACATTTAAAGGAGCTTTCAATCTAGAAGAAAAGATAGATATACAAACACTTATTAAAAAGACTCAGAGGGGCCGGTCCTGTGGCCTAGTGGTTAAGTTTGGCATGCTCTGTTTCAGTGGCCCAGGTTTGGCCCCACACATGCACCTATACCACACATTGGCAGCCATGCTGTGGCAGCAACCCACATACAAAATAGAGGAAGATTGGCACAGATGTTGGCTTGGGCAATCTCCCTCAGCAAAAAAAAAAAAAAAAAAAAAAAAGATTCAGAAACGTGAAACACCATGGTTGTAGAATTGGGTATAGTGAGGAGATGAAGCTGCAGATGCAGTCATGGGGGGCTATATAATGAAGAACACTTATATGTATATCAAGCTAGGGAGAATGGACATTCTCTTGTAAATAACGGAAAACTACTGATGAGTTTTTAAATAGGGGAGTACAATGTCCAGATTCCTATTTTAGAATAATTCTGGTGGAAGAATGGAGGCTATCAGTCTATATAGAAAGCTATTGTAATGTTTCAACAAGATATAAGGTCCTAACCTAAGGCATTAGTAGTACGATGAATTTGAGAAACACTTAAGAGGTATATTTGTGGGACTGGATCATTTTAATCCAAACAGAAGAATCAAAACCTCACAGATTCTCAAAAGAGAATCCAAGGTAAAGAAAAGGATGACTCCAAGTTTCTGGTTTGAGTGACTGGATGAATGGTAATGTTAACTGAGAATAGAGCATTCAAGAGGATTGACAGGTTTCTTGGTTATCTGATTTTTGGTAATTGTCAATAACATGGTAAAACTATAGTCAAAGAAACTCATTTCTGTCCATAATGTTGACCCTTTGATTCAGTCATTGAAATCTTTTTTTTTTTTTGCTGGGAAAGATTCTCATGACATTCAATGCTATTTGCTCTTGCGAGTCACCATCATCCTTTCTTGCCCTCTCCCAGTCTTTTCTATGTATGGATTTACAAAATAAATCAGAATGTACTTAATGCCACTGAATTGTACACTTAAAATGACGAATTTTATGTTGTGTTTACCACACACAAAAAATCTTTTTTTAAAGTCAGATCATGTCTAAAACTCTGCAGTGGCTTTTCTCTTCCTGAGTAAAGCTAAAGCCTGTGATAGTCTACATAATCTCTCCCTCTTCCACTCCCACCACCTTAGAACTCCTCTGTTACCATTTTCCCCGTTTTGTCTTCACTGCCACGACAGTGGCCTTCTCAGACTCACCAAGTATCCTACAGCCTCAGAGCATTCGTATTTTCTATTCTTTCTACCTGGAGCACATGTCCCCCCTAAATTTCCACAGGGTAAGCTTAAACATTTTCTTCAGGTCTCTTCACTGATCAGCTTATGTATGAAATAGCACTTCTTTTCCCTGCCCCATCACTCTCTCTCTCACATTCTGCTTTATAATTCTGTAGTTCTTCATGTCACTCATCACCCTCTGACTTACATATTTATTGGACTTTTGTTTAATGTCTATCCCTTTATTAGAATATAAGTTACCATGAAACAGAATATAAGCTCCTGTTATATCCTTACCACTTAGCAAAATGCTTGGCACATGGAAGGTGCTGAATAAACATTTGGTGGGTAAATTAATAATGGATAATGTTCCTTGACCCATCAGTACTGTTTTTTAAAAAAACACATAAACAATAGAATAATTTCTAATTTAAGTAAATATATTGATGTGCCAACTATTTTTAGCTTTCTAGAGTTATCTATCAATAAAAATCACTTTATTTCCTTCTTTTTTTTTTTACTATTGGTTTTTATTTTTTTCTTGCTTTTTCTCCCCACATCCCCCAGTACATAGTAGTATATTTTAGTTGTGGGTCCTTCTAGTTGTGGCATGTGGGATGCCACCTCAGCATGGCCTGATGAGTGGTGCCATGTCTGTGCCCAGGATCCGAACCGGCAAAACCCTGGGCTGCGGAAGCGGAGCGTGTGAACTTAACCACTTGACCACGAGGCCGGCCCCTATTTTCTATTTTGACTGAGTTTATTTTTGTTTCTAATGATTTTTTTTGAAAATTTCATTTACTCATTGTATTCATTTGACATATTTCATGAGTACAGCCCTGTATTCTGCAAGTGAATGAAGAAATAAGGGACCTGCATTTTAGGATCACTAAAATTAATATTCAAAACTTTTCTTGTGAACATAAAAATACCTGGAATAATGTGAATTCCTATTGCCAAAAGCTGAACTAAAGCTTTGAAACTTTATATATATGTATGTATAAGTATGTGTATAAAATAAAGCTAAAGAAAGATTCCTGTGTTATCAATATTGCCAAGTGCAAGACATGCCATTACGATTTTTATGTAGTCAAGACTATGATAAATTGTATAATAAGAAATATGCCTTTTTGGGAGCAGCAAAATGACAGTTAATAGTTTTATATTCTAAAAAATGAAATACTTTGAATAATTGCTTTCCAAAAGTGTATCATTTCACCACAGTAAGAAACGAAAACCTATGCTTCATTTAAACAGAACTCAGCCTGATTCTCTTTCCTCCCCCTACAGGTAGCTTTGGATATGTTGAATCCTCAAGTTGCTTTGCCTGTTTTATACCCAAATCTTAAACAGGGTGGTGTATGTGCTGTCTACCTAGCAAAGTGAGTAATATAGCTGTTCTTCTTAGTAATATGATTTTAGCACACTTTTATTTTGTCTTAAGTAGTAGGCTAAAGTGTTCATTTTATAACTGAGTTAGGTGTATGGCATCTCGTAAAAGTGTTATGAAATGATATATGTCCCAAATTCATACTGCTGTTTAAACCATCTTTTACATAAATGGTAATATAAGATACATACTTCTTCTGACAATTTAGAAGAAAAGTTTTAAAAGTGTAATGTGAACAATAATGTGAAATTATGGTCTCTGTATTTTTTTTACTTAGTATTCTGTGAAATTGTTTATTATATGCCCTAACTTGCATTTTTACTCCCCACCTTGATTTAACTATAGCATTTAAATTTGGGTAAGAGGTATGGTGAACTTAAAATAAATATAAGGTTATTATTAGAAATTTAAAGTACATTTCACTTTTCTAAAAGCATCACACAGGTCATTGAACTTTTAGATGGAATTCACATCTGTGAACTTGCTCTCTCATGTGAAAAGATAAGTGAAGTCATTGTCAGAGATTGGTTGGTTTGCCTTGCAAAACAGAAAAATGGAATTTTAGCTCAAAAAGTAGAACCTAAAATCAACACAGATTTACAGTTACATTCTCTAGAGAAAATTAGACTTGAAGATGAGATGTTTCAAGAGGATGAACATGGTGAGTTTCAGTTTTATTTTATGAATGTATTTCTAATAATAAATAGAGAATAGGTTCCTGAATGTTTTGACCAATACATTATAAAAATATTTCTCAGGGATTTATTTGTTTTTCCCATAGAAATTAAAATATGGTATTTACTCTGTTAAATTAAAAATCTCTAAGGGACAGAATAATGACTTTTTCTCTTTTCTATGTAAAACTGATACTTTTGAAGAATTGAGCTTCATATAGTATTCATACTTGTGACAAGGAAGTTGGCTTATGAAAAACTTTAAATATACTAAAGAATGTTTTTTAGATTAGTAATTATTACTGAAGGAAAAGAATTTAATAGGACCTGATATGCAACTAGCTAATATTCCATAAAGCAACTTCTAAGATGCTGCTGGAACTTTTCAGAGAACTAAATTTAGGTCCTTGTTGTATGTACACATTATTTAGGCCATGAACAAGTTTTCGTATGTCCATTGATTTATGATGTGGGCTTATCCATTTGGTTATAAAACCATATATGAGTTTATCATGCACTCTTTGACAAATTGTTTCTATAAAGTAACTGGCAGAGTAGCTCTAAAACAAATGCTAAAAAAAATGTCTGAGAGAAAAAACTTACAGTAAAGGACAGTAATTTGTATTTTAACAGTTTTGTGAACAAATTATAAAATATTTTATGCAGCTTATAATACGTATTTTGTTCTATAACAGAAGAATCACATTCTGATTTTCCATATGGATCATTTCCCTATATTGCTAGACCTATACACTGGCAAACTGGTCATACAGGTGAGTAATGTTTTCAGGCCATATTAAGTGGTGTTTGTTTCTAATTATTGTAATGACCTTACTTTTTTCTCCCCTTAAATTAGCTTTTCTTGTCAAGTTGAGAAAATTCAAACCACAACTTAACTGAGTACCTCAGATGACAACTGATATGAAGACGGAAAAATATTAAAATAGAGCTTTATACTGCAAATCACTACTTTCATAGATTGGTATTTTCAGCTCTTATTATGATTTGTATAACTTTTACATATAATTTTGAAAAATAACAAAAGTTAAAGAAAGATGTTTAACATTTCAAAACTACTTAAATGTCCCATTTGGACACTTGTCTTGCAGTTAGTACTTAATGATTCCACATTGGTTTAGTTGAGCCATCTCATTCTTCACTTCCTGTAAACCACTCCATAGATTTATCTTTCTCCATGAAATTAGTTTTCTTTTCTTTGTTTGATTGATGGTCATTGGCTACCAAAATAAAATATGCATTTTAAGATAAATTTTATGTATCTCTGTATTTTAAATACATGTTTTAATGGCTTGTATGTATCTTAAAAAATAAAGAAATCTGGGTTCTAGTAAATAATAGGGGGAAAACTGATAAGAATGATCTGACCACCTTAAAAATTATAACAGAAGATGTAACAATTCTTGAATCTCTTATCCTTTGCAGAATGATTTTAACCAGTTTGAAAGAACATCCGATTTGTTCTTTTATTGCATAAATTAAATGTTGTTTGGAGAAATACACTTTATAAATATGAATTAATTAGGACCAGGGCTTATTATCATTTATCGGTACCAGTTATTTAGCACTTACCATGTGCCTTACGTTGTTTTAAGAACTTTATAATGTTTTTTCATTTAATATGTCTAGCTCATCTTTAAGGTTATCCATATCTTACAGATAAACAAAAGCTTAGAGTACTTAGGTTATTGTTTAAATATAGATATTTTATAGGTTTTAAAGTGGTAGTGCTTGAGAGGATAAATGCTGCCATTCCTGGATTTATCCCTTAGGCTAGCACTATTTAAAGTAATAAGTATATGCTAAGTAACATTTTACATATTTTTATTATGTGGAAAATTTTAACCTAAAATCTCTGCCTTTATAGACTTTACAATCTATGGTAGAGCTAGACATTAAATAATCACACAAATATAAAACTAAACTGTTATAAATGCTCCAAAGAAGTATAAGGTACTATAATAGGGGTTTTGCTCTGGTCAAGTAATTATCTGTGCAAGTGACAATTGAGCTGAGACCTGAATGGTAAGTAGGAGTTAACTACAGCAGGGAAAATGAGAACAAAAAGGCCAGTGATGCTGGGGTTGAGTGAAAGAGAGTGGAGAGATAGGTAGGAGTCAGGCCATGCAGGATCTTGTAGACCATTAAGGAGTTTGTCTATCCTAAGAAAAATGGGGTGCCACTGAAGGATTTAATGAAGTAAGGGGTAACAGCCTTAGATCTGTGTTTTGAAAAAAATCACTCTCTTTGCATTTGGAGAACTGATTGAATCATAAGCAGGGTATTTTTCTGGTGTCATATTTCTGTATGGTAAGTATCTGAACTCATACAATAATAATGGCTTTATAGTTTTCGTAATATTTCCAGATATATAGAAGCTCCGAAGTACGTTTTTAAATTCCATGATGGAATACTCCCTTTTCTTCTGCCAGTCTATTTAACTATAGTGAAATTATGTCCTTCATTTATTGTTTTGAACGCAAGCTCTAAATGTACTACTTGGAGAAGGGGCTGACTTGAGATCAAAGAAAAGTTGTGCCTTCTACTTCTATTTCATGTAGAATAGTTTCTGTTCACTACACTGTGCTCAGAAGATGTTGAATTGAACAAGACCTCTCTAACAGTGTCAATTCTAGTACTGAGTTGAATTGAAAACCAAACTACATAAGCAACTAAGCATTTATTTATATAGTTATCAAAGTCCAGCTTAAGCCCTTTCTCCATCTCTCCATCAAACGTTAGCATGTTTACAGTCTGGCTCATGGGGCAGATGCCTTCTTCTAAAGCTAGCTTTCTCTGTTCATGTCTGGCTCTCATTTACCATACTGTAAACTCGTGGAGATTTGTGACTGACTCACAACTGTCTTCCCAGTACCTTCCAGAGGCCTCACCTTTTCCACCCAGTAAATGATCGATAAAAGTTTGCTGATGACTTTAAGCCTTTAACTCGGTCATGTATTGTGTCATCTGTTGACTTTGTTATTCTAGGGGGAAATTTAGTTATATAGCTCTTGGATTATGGAAGCCTTTGGGTTTTAACTTTATACTTCAGAGGCAGTAGGGAACTTCTGAAAGTTCCATCGTCATGTAAAAGGAGACTATTTTTTAAAAGTCTGTTTAGTGGTGTCTATGAGTATTTAAAGGAAGGAAAAAACTGTTAAATGAGAAGTTTCATAGTAATATATAGTGTACAACTATGAGGTGATTGGTAGTAATATACAACTATGAGGTGTGGAAAAGGGGCAGATGTAAAAAAATATTGTGAAGGAAGAACCAGATAAGCTGGTGATTCATTGAATGTAGAGGGAGAGAGGCTATGTATTTTCAAACTTTTATCTGCTATTCAGAAGCCCTTTCTCTTACTTCTCTGGGCAAAATAGGACTCAGTTAATGCCCAGCTCATACATTACTTCCTCTGAAAAGCCTTCACTAAGTCTCTCACCCCACAGAATTCTGGAATCTTTTGTGCTCCTAAATGTTGATCATATAGTTAGCATTGCCGTTATCATATCATTAATTTATAAGCCCTAATAATGCCTTCATTAAATGTAAGGATTTTAAACCTGGATGAATTGAACAGTGGTAATGACAAAAATAAAGTTCAGAGAAGGATTTATTTTTGAGGAAAAATTACTTGGTTTTATATTATATAACAATGCCCCATGCTTGCCTACATGACCCAGGACTAAGGTTTGGTATATTGTTTTTTTTCCTTGGCTCTACTCTAAAATCTTAGGAGTCCTCAGATAATACATAATAACACTTACTCATGTTTCAGATGGACTAGCCTAGGTATCATAAGGCTTGAGACAGCATAAAGTAAAGAGAAACAGTGTAATTTAGTTAGTATAAAAATGTGCTGTGTACTCAGATAGAACTGGGTTCCCATCTTGCTGTTTTTGTTGTTGCCGTTGTTTTACTTTGCAACTGTGACTTTTCTCAGTTTGTTTCTTCATCAGTGAAATCAGTGTCATAATGCCACTTCAAGATTTCTTGGGGGGTCAGGTGCTAAATGAGACTAGACTGTCTTTATAAAGTGCTGGTATATGATTGGTGATTGTGATGTATGTAAATTTGTAAAGAATGCCTCATCTATCCCCCCCAACCTTGTCAAAAAAATATTTTGTTCTTAATAAATGTCATAACATGTTTATGTAAAACTTGTTTTTCGAGCATGCTGTTTTGAGAGAAAAAAATTTTAAGGTAGAAAAACATGTCTACCTGAAAAGCGAGGAGTTGCTTGCTTGTGTTTGAAAGAAAGATGGAAGCATTGATTACCATCTGTAGCTAAGTTTTAGCATAAAAGCCTGGACAGAGCATCACCTCTTTGTGTCTGTCTTGGAGAATGCCGAATTGAGTTTTCTGCAACCACAAACTGTTAAGTGATTTCAACCACCTTATGTGGACTAGAGGAAGAAATTTTGCTAGCAGAGGTCACTACTGGGAATCAGCAGCTGCCGAGGCAGTGAGAGACTGATCACTGCTGCTGATAACATCATGTTACCCTTAAACTCCCCCACCCTGAATTAGCTCACTCCCTTGTAAAGCCTACTGAGCGAAAATGAATGTAAATGTTTACCGGTCAAGCATATGTATGAGCAGTACTTTTCTTTGTATTGCCTACCCTCTGTCATCCTGAAACAAAAGGTTTTTTACATTTAACCTTGAGTTAGTACTCTGAATAAAACAGTCGAGTAAATACTTGTTCCTTCCCATATAGGACCTCTATTATCCTAAACCAGGGCTTCCGGGCTTTCATCCAGGGACAGGATGAAAGCACAGTTCCATTTACAACTCCCCTAACTTAGGGCACCTGACTTAAGACCTGCTTTTTTTTCAAAGCAAGCTGACTGGCAGGCAGAGCCCCTTACTCTCTGGGTGTATTCTGATTTCCTGTTGAGATATCAAAGCCTAAAATATATAATGTTACTACTTTTGATATCTACAGGGGCTAGTCTGAATAAAATATAATTGCTTCTGTTCTGCTTTCTGTAAATACCTGTTCAAATTGTGGTTGGAATTCTCTCCTAATTCACTCCATACAGCCTTTCATCAGGGACATGGTTCTTTAGTGTGTGACACCACTTCGTTAGTCCTTAGTAGTCTGCTAGAAGACTTCTGTGGCAGCTTATTTTCACCACCAAAGGCAAGATTTCATCAAAGGGGGCAGTAGAGCATAATAGTTAGGAATTCAGGCTGCAGCCTAGAGTCAGAGACCTGGGTTCAAATGTCACACCACCACCTTGGGCAAATTATTTAACCTCTCTAAGCCTCAGTTTCCTTATCTGCAAAGTGGAGATAACAGTATTTACCTTAGGGTTGGCTGTGAATATTAAGTGAGATTATGAATGTAAAATGCTTAGCATATTGCCTGGAACATTTTAAACATCTAGTATTATAAGGATCAAAGAGTGTAGGCAAAAAGAGCTGGGAGAGAGGGAAGAGATACTAAAAGGCAATTCTTATTTTATATTTAGCTTTATGGTAGACCTTGCTTACCTTCAAATATGAGTGAACTGATAAAAATGATGCTTGGAAGTGTTGCAAGGGAAGAGATTACACTGTCAGTCAAATTTGTTTAGTAATTACTGTGGCCAGGGAATGGAACAATGACTGAGGCATGATCCCTATCTTGAAGAGTCTTAAGGGTCTAGTTTCTCTTTTAGTAAAACTCCAGTAGCCAATCACTGCTAATTTCATAAAGATGTGGTAAAAATAAATAGAGGAAATTCTGAAATAACGTGGGTCTCATCATAAAGTTAGAAAGAACCATAAGAAATCTGTCAGTCCTATCTTCAGATGGGTGAAAATCTGGAGACAGGCTTTGTAAGAAGTGAAAAGGATCACTGCTAGTAGAATATTATTCTGGTTCTGTTTCAAATTGAGAAATGTCAGAGAAATACTCTACCTTTATAAATATAATTTGAATGAAAACTATGGTGTAATTGACTAAAAGTATTTCTAGTTCATATGATTATTTTCTAATTAATATACTATTCTAAGCACCTTAAATCCCAACAAAAATGAAATAAGCAAATTATGATACTCATACTACGTGATGATTAAAAATCAGGTTTTCAAAGACTAACTAATAGCATGGGGAAATGCTTTATGATAAGTGAAAAGAAGCAGGTGTAGATATAGTATGGCTCTAATTTTTTAAAAACAGGAAATAGAAATAGGGGCCAGCCCCATGGCTGAGTGGTTAAGTTCGCACGCTCCACTTCAGCGGCCCAGGGTTTTGCCAGTTCAGATCCTGGGCAGGAACATGGCACTGCTCATCAAGCCATCCTGAGGCGGCATCCCACATGCCACAATTAGAAAGACCCACAACTAAAAGTATACAACTATGTACCGGGGGGCTTTGGGGAGAAAAAGGAAAAATAAAATCTTTAAAGAAAAAGAAATAGAAAAATATAGTATTATAAAGCTATAGTAATCAAAATAGTATGGTATTGACATAAAAACAGACACATAGATCGATGGAACAGAATAGAGAACCCAGAAATAAACCCACACATATATGGTAGATTAATTAAAGGAGCCAAGAATATACAATAGGGAAAGGATAATCTCTTCAATAAATGGTGCTGGAAAAACTGGACAGCCACATGCAAAAGAATGAAACTGGACCACTATCTTACACCATGCACAAAAAATAAATTCAAAATGGATTAAAGACTTGAATGTAAGACCATAAGAAGTAGAAGAAAACGAGGTGAGCTCCTTGACATTGGTCTTGGCAATGGTTTTTTGGATTTGACACAAAAGGTAAAGCAACAAAAGCAAAAATAAACAATGGGACTACATCAAACTAAAAATTTCTGTACAGGAAAGGAAATCATCAACAAAATGAAAAGGCAACCTATAGAATGGGAGAAAATATTTGCAAATAATATATCTGATAAGGGGTTAATATCCAAAATATATAAAGAACTCATACAACTCAATAGAAAAAAATCCAATTTAAAAATGGGCAGAGGGACTGAATAGACATTTTTCCAAAGACAACATAAATGGCCAACAGATACACGAAAAGGTGTTCAGCACCACTAATTATCACGGAAGTGCAAATCAAAAGCACAATGAGATATTACCTCACACCTGTTAGAATCACTATTATCAAAAAGACAAGAAATAACAAGTGTTGGTGAGGATGTGGAGAAAAGGAAATCCTTGTACACTGTTGGCAGTAATGTAAATTGCTGCACCACTATGGAAAACAGTATGGAGGTTTCTCAAAAAATTAAAAACAGAACTACCATATGATCCACCAATTTCACTTCTGGGTTATTATCCAAGAAACAAAATCACTGTCTTGAAAAAGATTCCTGCACCTCCATGTTCATTGCAGCATTATTTACAACAGTCAAGACATGGAAACAACCTAAGTGTCCATCGATGGATGAATGGATAAAGAAAATGTGGTATATATATATACAATGGGATATCACTCAGCCATAAAAAAGGAGGAAGTCTTGCCATTTGTGACAACATGGATGAGGGCATTATGCTAAGTGAAATAAGACAGAGAAAAATACTTTGTGATCCTATACATGGAATCCTATATGTGGAATCTAAAAAAACCTGAACTCATAGATACAGAGAACCCATTGGTGGTTGCCAGAGGCAGAAGGTGGAAGGTGGTTAAAACGTACAAACTTCCAGTTATAAGATAAATAAGTATTTTATAGCATGGCGACTATAGTTAACAATACTATATTATATATTTGAAAGTTGCTAAGAGAGTAGATTTTAAAAGTTCTCATCACAAGGAAAAAAAGTGTAACTGTGGTGATGGATGTTAACTAAACTTGTGGAAATCATTTAGCAATATATACATATATCACATCATGTCGTACATCTAAAACTAATACAATGTTATATGTCAATTGTATCTCAATTTTAAAAAGTGTATAGAAGAAAACCAATAGTTACTCTCTGATAAAGCTAGATGGTGAGGTTACAAGTAAATTTATTTTCTTGAAACTTGTTTTGAATAAAATAAACATTTCAAAGAAAACGGTTCAGGTTCTTAAAATACGTAATACTTAAAATACTTGAGACCCATGGTGTATTAGGTTTCAATTTAACATAAGTCAAATTAAAAATCGTTTAGGTAAGCTACCACCAAACAGATACTGACAGAAGACAAAAAGTAGTAACTGAAAAGGGGAAAACTTTTGATAGTAATTAACTTAGTATATAAATATTTATATATAAATTATGTACCTCTGCTTGTAAGGACTGACTACAGATCAATAAATAACTTAGATTTATTAATAACTTGCATAAATCTAATTCTGACATCACCAAATCATACCTTGAGAACAGCTATAAGCTTGAGAAGTATCAACTACCATGTCCATTGAGAATGAGTTGTGTGAGTCCTGAGAATGTTTATCCATCACCTCTACTGTATCACTGGATGAAGATGATGAAGACAATCCCAGTCTAACATATCTTCCTTTTTTACCACAGAGTGAACAATCCACCGGTGTGGCACTAGGTCCCCGGGGCAGTTGAATTTCATCTCTGTTGTAGTTTCTAACAGCTCCACTGTGATGCACAGAGCGTTCTCGTTGCCATATATAATGGGTTGGAGCAATGGCCATAACCTATAGTGGAAAGCTTTCTTTTAGAATTTTAATAAGATTTTAAAATTTTGTAAAATTAAGTACAAAAATTATAACTCAAGAACAGCTATCTCTAAAACTAGATCTAAAAACCCAAGCTACAAATGTTTAAAAAAAAAAAGCATCTCCAGATACGGCAAAATTACCTATAAAGTGATTTGTCGCTTTGGTCCTTAAGATAATAATTGACAAAGTATTTAAATTATTTCAAATAGGAAATAGGACTGAAGCCACCTTCCAGGTTTTTCAATTCTGAATATTCTAAGTTTGGGAAAGATAATACAATTAGCCCAAAACAATACATAATTCTTAATTTTGGAATATATTGGGTTGAAAATATTTTTAATTTAAGTTTCCAACTATGTATGTTAGGCTAATCTTAAAATGTTTGCAGTCATGCCAAGGGATATGGTGAATTAGAACACAGGTAAGTTACTTTGCCTCTCTGTTCCTCAGTTTCCTTGTCTGTAATATGGAGAGAATAATAGTGTCTATTTTAGAGGGTTGTTGCATGGATTAGATGAGGAATTATTTATAAAGCACTTAAGATTCCTCACTACATATAAGGCATTGTTCTCTATGGTTTGTTACACACAACATTGCCTTTAGAATCAGGATAGATATAGATGTATGATCCTGGGCAAGTTACTTAACCTTTCTGAGGCTCAATTTCTTCACATCTAAAATGAGGATACTATCTGCCTCAGGACTGTTCTGAGGATCAGATATGTGTAAAATCCTTGTCATATAGTAAGCATCTGGAAAATGATAGCCATTTAAGAAGTCAAGCTAGGAAAGTGTATCTATGTTCTGACCTCATGATGTCTAAAACTTCTAAGCAAAATGTTAGAATGTTACTTCTAAGCAAAAATGTTTAGTTGCAGTTATGAATGACTCAAAGTAAATGAGAACTGTAGAATTTGAGAGCTAGGTGGTACCTTATTAATTGCCTAGACCAGTGATTTTGAAACTGTTTTGAGAAGCCCCCAGGTTTCACTATATTAGAGGTTCCAGGAGGTGCTAAGGGAAGACAGAACAAGTAGAGAAGCTTAACTTTGGGAATTGTATGTAAAATTTTGTTTGGAAAGAAAGAAGGCTTTTGCTGTTAAAAATGAAAACTTCCTTAAAATCCCCAGATTAAGACCATTCCCCTCAGAAAATGGGGTATTGTGGCTTCCCCCAAGAAAATGGCATAAGGAATACTAGCCATGCTAATTTTTTAAAGTATATTTTAGGATTACATTTATTTTATAATCCACTTCTTAAATCTTTCAAAAAAGCTTTCAACCAAAGACATGTAATAAAGTTACATATCTTTAAAAAGGTAGAAATAAAGATGTTAACTTTAACTGTAAAAACTTCTGTAACAATGTAAAACTAGGTTCAGAGTTACCTAAGGTGAGGAAGTAGAATATCAGAATTTCTTATTCCTTCTATATTTATGTACTGTTTTTTCCTCAACACTTCTATATCTTTATTTCCCATGTCTGGAATGTCGTCTCCTTTTGCCTTAGCATTGCTTTTTCTTCAGTGCCCAGTGTAAGTCCCATCTTTCTAAAAACTCCAGCTCTCAGGTTTTCTTGTTAATGCTTTTATTAGGACTTTTAGCATATAAGTATCTAGTACTCAGATATATCTTTTTATGCATGTAACCTATTCTACTGAAAGTCTCCTCTGGGCAGGAATAGTCTCTTATACACCTATCAAATGCCCTCCACACAATATTATGCAGTCATTAAATATTTCTTAATGATAGATGAAAATAATTCAGAATTAGAGGCCACTGACATTATGAATTTTTTTATTGAGTTCATAATAGTTTACCACGTTGTGAAATTTCAGTTGTACGTTATTATTTGTCCATCACCATCTATGTGCTCCCCTTCACCCCCTGTGCCCTCCCTCCAGCCCCCTTCCCCTGGTAACCACCGAACTGTTTATTTGTCCGAGTGTTTGTTTAACTTCCACATGGGTAAAATCATAGGGTGTTTGTCTTTCTCTGTCTGGCTTATTTCACTTAACATAATACCCTCCAGGTCCATCCATGTTGTTGTGAATGAGATGATTCTTTTTTATGGCTGAGTAGTATTCCATTAGATATATGCCACATCTTCTTTATCCAATCATTGGTCCATGGGCACTTGGGTTGCTTCCATGTCTTGGCTATTGTGGATAATGCTGCAGTGCACATAGGGGTACCTAAGTCATTTTGAATTGTTGATTTCATGTTCTTTGAATAGATACCCAGTAGTGGGATAGCTGGGTCATATGGTATTTCTATTTTCTTAGTTTTTTGAGAAATCTCCATACTGTTTTCCATAGTGGCTGCACCTGTTTGCATTCCCACCAGCAGTGAATGAGGGTTCTCTCCTCTACACACCCTCTCCAACATTTGTTATTTTCTGTCTTAGAGATTATAGCCATTCTAACAGGTGTAAGGTGGCATCTTAGGGTAGTTTTGATTTGCATTTCTCTCATGATTAGTGATGTTGAACATCTTTTCATGTGCCATTATGAACTTTTGAAAATGTGATTTTTGGAGGAACTCTACAGCAGTCTAGTGAGAAGAGCAGAAGGATATACAAAGAGCACAAAATAGAAAATTTGGTAAACTGTTTTTTCTGCAATAAGCTATAGACATAGTCTCTCCACGTTAACCCAGCTAGAAAAATGTGTGCACACTTTTTTACTTTTAAATATATAGTTTACATATATTTTATACACATACATTTAGAATGTTATTGTGATAACACTGAATTAAAAAGAAAACTGTACCAGGGTTAAGAGAGCAGAATTTTGGTCTTAATTCTATTAGTTCTATGACCTTAAGCAAATTACATAACTTTCTGGGCCACAGGGTGTCTTTAATATATGAAAAAACAGGTCACTTACAGTCCTCAAATTCTGTGATTCTATGAAAGTGACTTTTCTGAAGCACTGGTAGCACCTGAACTACTAGAAACATTATCTTAGTTTTTACTTTGTCTTACTCTTCTGTCATTTTTAGTGATTTTTTTTTGATGCCTCTGTGGTGTTCTTAAAATTTAATACTTGATACTCTTGTTTTTCTCCATGTATACTCCTCTATATCTCAAGATAGTATAGTATAGGTGTTAAAAGCACTGACTTTGGCGTCAGACTGCCTAGATTTGAATACTGGTGTGGTGCTTTACTAATTGTGTGACCTTAGAGAATTCATTTAGTCTCTCTGTGCCTGTTTTCTCATCTGGGATTACCTAGCTATCTGCAGGAATTGTGAAAGTTAATACATGTGCAGTACTTAGAACAGTGCCTAACAAGTGCTCAAAAAGTATTAACATTACTTTCACCTTGGCTCTTTTATCTACGCTACCAAGCTTTAAACATCACTTATATGTGATGACTCATGTTACTCATACCTGTTGACCATTCACTTATTCAATTATCACCTTAAATTTATATGTCTAATACCAAATTCCTTATCTTCCAGTAAACCAGTTTGCTTTAGCCTTTCCTGTTTCCATTATGGAATCAATTACTCTTTCTGTTATATAGATTTGAAACTCTTGACAGCTCACTCTCCCATATGACCTATTTCCAACTGGTCACCAAGTAATTACAATTATAATTTTGTAACATTTATTTTTCTTCAGCACTAGCTTTACATCTTGCTTCCTGACCTATAGCGAGTTTAGGATTTTCCAGTACCTTCCCTATACTGGGTCCCTTCTGCATACTGTCATTGGATTATTTTCTTCAAAACACTGCTTATATCACATCACTGCTTTCTAAATTCCTATAGTAGTAGCTGATAGAGAAATCAGCTATGATGATATTATGCCATCTAGGCCAGAGTACATAACAAGAATAGAGAAAAGCTTCCTCTTGATAAAATTGCTACCTCCTGTGATGCATAAAGGGGCTAGAATTGGAGTCTAAGTCTTTTCATCAGATTGACATCCTTCATAATCTGTGAGTCAATCTGGAAAGCTATAATCAACCTAAATAAATTCTACCTCAGAGGAGCTGGTCTCCAAAAAGGTAAGCTGATTGTAGAAAGATAAGATCAGAATAAGTAGGGAAATAGTCTACTTTTTTCTGGAGCAGCCCTACATATATTTTTCAATTTAATCATACCTCATCTCATTCCAAAAAAAGATTTAAGGCAGCTGACAAAAAAAGCAAATGAAACTTTTTTTTCTTTAAGCTAGAACCCTGAAGGGAAAATCTGGTTAAAGGAAGAAAGCAGACGTGCCAGTAACGAAGGGTAAGAGTGATGTGGTTAAGGATAAAGCCTGGCGCTTAGCTTCTTTGCAGCAGGAAAGATTTTTTTAAAAAGGAGACAAATTACAAAATTCATATTATCTGAAAGGAGAGAATTAGGTTTTTTTAGACAACGGTGTATAATGGAAAGAGTGCTCAGTTTAAGTACTACCTAGCCCTGCCACTTATTAACTGAATGACTATGGATAAATCACCACCTTTCTAAGCCAGTTGCTTCCTCTAAAAAAATGGAGAGAATACTTATGCTATTTAATTCATGAGATAAAATAATAGATATAAATGCATTTTCTAAACTAACCAATATGAGAGGTGGAGGCTAGATGTCAGAGAAAACAGAACACTGGGAAATCATTAGATGTGAAGTCAAGTTCTGGTTCTGCCACTTAGCTGATGTATGATCTTGAGTAACTCTCAATCTCCTCGCTCCTCTGTTTCATCAGCTGTAAAATGAGAATGCTACAGCCTTCACAGGTAATTTTTGTGAGGATAAAAAAGATAATTTATATGAAAATATTTGTGAATTTGTAAAGCACAATGCAAATGTAGAGTATTATTATTGTAAGCCAGTTTGTAGCTACAGTCATAACTTGGGTTGATTTTAGGATATGAGACTAAAGAAATGGGTTGGCAGTATGACAGAACAGGGCTGTCAATAACAAATTCATAGAATTCTTAACTAAATTTCTAACAGCATGTCTTGCTACTTTAACACAGCAAACTGCAGGGCAAGGATGTGTAATACTTCTTTATAATATATCACAATAAAGACACTGAACTTACTGTCTTATTCATAATTTAGCTGTTGAATGAGTACTTAAGAGAACAGGATAAAATCTACTAAGTAATTGCCTTTCCTATGCACCAACATGATTCAAATGTACCTGGTTGGAACTGGGAAAAAAAATAGCTTATCTATATGCCAATAGAATAAGGGGCAGTGCTAAGTGAGCTCAGTGAAGAATTGTTTTATAGTTTATTGTTTTTCTATTTCATGGATAAAAAGGTATGAAAAAGAATTCAAAGCTTTAAGTTCCATTCATTCTCTCAGCCAGCAATATTTACTGAGTACCTACTATATTCCAGGCACTGTTCTAGGCACTGGAGATACAATAAGAACAAAATAAAGACCATGCCCTTTTGGAATTTATATTCTAGTAGGGGGAAATGGACAATAGCAAGATAAATAAGTAAAACAGAGTGTTATATGGTGGTTAAGTGCTATGAAGAAAACCGAGAAAAGGAATACAGAGTAACAGTAGGAGGTCTACTTAACAGCTTTATTGAGACTTAACTCAAATACCGTACAATTCACCCACTTAAAATGTACAATTCAATGGCTTTTTAGTATATTCAGAGTACCACAACCATTACCAGTCTTTTTTAGAACATTTTCACCACTCCATAAAGATCCCTGGTAAAAATCCCTGGTAACCACTAATCTACCTTGTTTCTTTGGATTTTATTCTAGACAGTTCATATAAATGGAATCATACAATATGTGGTTCTTTGTGACCAGCTTCTTTCGTTTAACATGTTTTCAGGGTTCATCCATGTTATAGCATGTGTCAGTTCTTCATTCCTTTTAATTGCCAAGTAATATATCATTGTATGGATATACCATATTTTGTTTACCCCTTCGTTAGTTGATAGACATTTGGGTTTTCACTTTTTGACTATAATGAATACTGCTATGAACATTCATGTACAAGTTTTTGTGTGGACACAGTTTTCATTTCTTTTGGGTATATAAGTAGGTGTGGAATTACTGGGTCATATAGTAACTCTACGTTTAGCCTTTTGAGGTACTGCCAGACTGTTGTCCAAAGCAACTATGCCATTTTACAGTACTACCAGAGGTGTATGAGGGTTCCAGTTTCTTCACATCCTTGCTAACACTTATCTTTTTTATTACAACCACCCTAGTGGGTGTGAAGTGGTTTTGGTTTTGCATTTCTCTGATGGCTAATGATGTTGAGCATCTTCTCATGTGCTTTTTTGCCCACTTGTATATCTTCTTTGGTGAAATGCCTATTCAGATCCTTTGCCCTTTTTAAAATTGAGTTGTTTTTTTATTACTGAGTTGTAAGAACTCTTTCTCATGCGAGATACAAATTCCTTATCAGACTGATGATGTGTGAGAAGGTTCTTCCATTTTATTGAATGTCTCTTCACTTTCTTGATGGTGTCCTTTGAAGGATAAAAGTTTTAACTTTTGACGATGTCCACTTTATATTTTCTTTTGTTGCTTGTATATTTTCTTTTGTTCTTATATCCAAGAAATCTAATCCAAGGTCATGAAGATTTACCCGTTTTCTTTTTACAGCTTTTAGCTTACATTTAGGTCTTTGATCCATTTTGAGTTAGTTTTTATATATGATATGAAGCAGAGGTCCAACTGCATGCTTTTGCATGTGGATATCCAGTTGTCCCAGCACCATTTGTTGAAGACTATTCTTTCCTCATTGAATCTTCTTGGTACTCCTTCTCAAAATTCAATTGAACATAAATGTGAGGGTTTATTTCTGGACTCTTCAATTTTATTCCATTGAGGGAGATACTACTTGATATAGGATGGTAAGGAAAGGTTTCTCTGAGCTTACATTTAAGCAGAGTCCTGAATGGAGTGAGGAAGTGAAGTATACTGATATCTGGGGAAAAAGCATTCCAGGTAATGGGATGGCAAGTGCAAAGACTCTGAAGTGGGAGTGTCCTTGCTGTGTTTGAGGAATAGCAAGGCGGCCAATGTGACTGGAATGGAGTAAGAAAGGATGGGAGATGAAGTCAAAGAGATAAGGGAGGAGAGTTGGCAGACCATGTAGAACCATGATAAGGACTTTGCCTTTTACCCTATGTGAGATGGGAAGCCTCTGGAGGCTTTTGAGTAGAGGTGTCATGATTTGACTAACTTTCTAGAAGATTTACTCTCGCGACTGTATCAGGAATAGACTAGAGGAAGAAAGTTATAAGAGAGACTATTTGGAAGGTTATGGCAATAATTGAGGCAAGAGTTGACAATCAAAGTAGGGTTTAGTAGTGGAGGTGGTAAAAAATGGTAAGATGCTGGATACTTTTAAGTTATGGATGTCTAGGGTGACAGTTTTTTGGCCTTAACAATGGATGAAGTTATTTATTAACATGTGGAAGACTGCAGGAGGAGCAGGTTTGGAGGTCTATGTGGAAGAATCAGAAGCTCAATTTTCGGCATATTAAATTTTATTATCTACTAGATAATGAGATATTAATAAGAAACTTGATATACAGATCTGGAATTAGGGGCGAGATCTGTTAGTTCTCAGTGTTGAAGCCTTGAAAGACTAAACTTTTCTGTAAATCCGTTTAGAACTGTCTAAAACTTTTTAGTCTTTTAAACAAACAATGTAAAAGTCTTTTACAGACATGATGTTGCCATTAAGCCACATCATTCTCTGGCTCTTTAATAGCCTGGTGTCAGCAACTGAGGTAATTCCAGCTCCAATAGTGTAAATTAAAGTTGTTGCAGTTAAAATGCTAGTAGTTGTATCTTAGGAGAGGGTGGGCAGTTTGCCATGAGGTGAACATTGCTTATCCTGGCTTCTTGCTTCTGGTGCCCCCTCCATGCCCTTAGCTGAGTGTCCCATGGGGCTTGAAGCATTTACTCTGAAAAAATCAGAGTGTTCAAATAAGGCTCACTATCATGTCCAACAATGGCAGCTGGTGTGCAAAACCCACTCCTGACCTGGGGAGATAGTGACAAAAAATAACAATACAGGACTCTTTCAGTGTCCTGTAACTGGAATGAGTAATTTAAATCGTATAATGAGGATGGATCCATTAATTTGGGAGGGCCGTATATACCCAATTTCTCATATTTTCTATTGAATGTAATCTGGTAAAGACTTAACCTGCTGTATACTCTTGTAAGCTTTTTCTGAATCCTTTTATTTCCCCCAACATTTAACAATCCTCCTAATTTAATCCACAAATATGCATACTTGCCTTATCTTCATCTCATTAATAAATATAATTAACAAGGTTAGTTCTGCACAGAGTTCTTTGACACATGTCTAAAGTCTTCCCTCAGGTTTGACACTAATCCATTAATTCGCTCTTTTGGCCTATAGTCACTTAACTGTATATAACTTCATTTAATTACAGTATTATATAGTGTATATTTACCAGACTTTTCTGAAATAGTACTGGCTTACAGTAATCAGTGCCTTCCATTTAACTTTCTATTCTAGAATTTTTCTTTAGTTTGAAACATTAACTTTCTTCTTTATTGAAAACCAGAACATTAAATAAAATAACCGACCTTTTAATTTTTAGTGTCTTTCTGCTTTATTTTAATAGAATCTGGCATCAAGGAAACTCACTTTATCTATTCTTTGTGAAAAGAGGTATGGTTTTTAAGCATATTTAAATTTACTTAAATGTTATACCATGCAGTTCGCATTTCAATCTTGGGAACTTGAAATTTCATATATTTTATTTAATGGAAATTGTTATTCAACTCCAGTGTTATTACCATAAGATATTTTGGAATGTGTACACTGTCCTTTCCCAATATATTTGGTGATCTTTTAAGACAAGAGAAACACACTAAAATAAAAGTACTTACTACAGAAATAGACTGCTCTGAAAAACAGAAATGACAATTTTTAATTATTGTGGTGTGAAAGTGAAACATGACCACTGTGATACAAAAGTTGTACTCGTGTTAACCATGAAAGTTAATGGTCTACCCTTAAATATACAAAAATTGAAACATTAGAAGCACATTAACAAACAAGGAAAATTACATAAACAGAAGACAGAGATTACATATATAAAGTATCTTAAAATCTTACCTCCTCACAGCATCGCCTGCTTACAATAGCCCTATAGTCAATTCTATCCCAGAGTTGGTCCCTTAACTTTAAGAAATTAGGGAACAATTTTCTCCAGTTTTTCCCTAAAGCCCATGGAAAAATTTCATATTTGGATTCTTCTTCATCTTCTTCAACTGTATTAGCCAGATACCTAATAAAGAAGACCAACAACTCAAAAAAGAAATGGGTAAAGGACAAGAAATAGGCAGTTCATAAAAAAATGCAAATTGCTTATAAACACATACAATCACAACCATACGCACTCACAACTAGAATATACAACTATGTACTAGGGGGCTTTAGGGAGAAGAAGGGAAAAAAAAAGAGAAGATTGGCAGCAGTTGTTAGCTCAGGTGCCAGTCTTTTAAAAAAAAAAAAACAAAACCACACACATAGAAGATATTCAACTTTACACATAATTAAAGAAATGTAGATCAAAAATTGAGATACAGAGGCCAGCCCAGTGGCATAGTGGTTAAGTTTGGGTGCTCCACTTCCACAGCCTGGGGTTCGCTGGTTCAGAGCCTGGGCGCGGATGTACAGACCACTTGTTAAGCCATGCTGTGGTGGCATCCCACATACAAAATAGAGGAAGACTGGCACAGATAGTTAGCTCAGGACCAATCTTCCTCACCAAAAAAAAAAAAAAAAAAAAAAAAACCAAAAAACTGAGATACAATGAATTTTACCCTGTTGAGTTCTGAATATTTTTGTATTCCTAGAAATCTTGAGCTTTGTTCTAGGAATGCAGATGTTACTTGGCAACAGTCTGATCCTCTCAGGTCTTGCTTTTATGATTTGTTAGGTGGATCTGGAGCAATGTTCAGTCTGGAGCTACTTATTCCCCACTACTGAGGCAAGACATTCCTGAGTACTCTACTCAATATCCTGTGAATTATGAGTTTTTTCTCTCTGGCGGGTGGGAACAGGCACTATTTACAGTCCTGGGTGAATGTTAGGTACTGTCCCCTCTAAGCCTTTCTTATGGTCTTTCCCCACGTTCAGGTAGTTTCCTTATACACATATGGAAATAAGTATCTTGCCATATACTGGAGGGGGATCAGGCATGCACAGAAGCAGGAAAACACGACCCATAATAAGAGGAATAATCAACCAAAACTGACACACATGGTAGAAGTAACAGACAAGGACATTAAAACAGTTATAATTATTCCAGATGTTCAAAAAGATAAGTAGACACATTGAAAGTGTACTTCTAAAGATGAAAACTATGTGTATAATGAAAAATACAAAGTGAGACTAATAGCAGATCAAATATTGCAGACTATCCAAAATGAAACACACAGAGAAAAAAACAAAAATATGAACAGAGCATCAATGAGCTGTGATTTAACTTAAAGCAGGCTAATAAAGGTGAAACTGGAGTCCCTAAAGGGTAGTGGGTGGACAGAAAAAATATTTGAAGAAATAATGGCTGAAAATTTTTTATTTTTTTTGCTCAGGAAGATTAGTCCTGAGCTAACATCTATGCCAGTCTTCCTTTATTTTTTTATATGTGGGTCACCACCACAGCATGGCTGACAAGTGGTGTAGGTCTGCACCTGGAATCTGAACCTGTGAACCCAGGCCACCGAAGCAAAGCATGCCAAATTTAACCACTAGGCCACCGGGCTGGCCCTGAACATTTTTGAAATTTGATGAAAATTATAAATTCACAAAGAAGCTCAATGAACCCCAAAGCACAAAACATGAAGAAAATTACACCAAGGCCCATCATAATCAAATTGCTCAAAACTAGTGATAAAAATCTTAAAAGCAGTCATAAAATAAAACACATGTTAGATAACACAGGAACAGAGGTATGGAGATTTCCCTAATCCCCCAGGATATCCAATGGGAAACAACACAAGCCCCATAGATGACTTTCCAAGAAAAATGGGCAACTTACGATAAAAAATTACAAAACACATAAGAGAACAAGTTACCATGAGCAGAAACAAACCCTGAAGTCTGAAGATACTGGAATTAATAGACAAACACCAAAGAAAGGGAGGTCTTAAAAGCAGTGAGAAAGGAAGGCAGGGTCAGTCCCAGTTGCCTAGTGGTTAAGTTCAGCATGCTCCACTTCAGTGGCCTGGGTTTGGTTCCCAGGTGTGGACCTACACCAGTTATCTATCAGTGGCCATGCTGTGGGTGGCAGCTCACATACAAAAAGAGGAAGATTGGCAGCAGATGTTAGCTCAGGGCAAATCTTCCTCAGCAAACAAAACAAAACAAACAAAAATAAAGAAAGAAAGGAAGGCAAATGATCTCAAGTGGAAGGTTTGAGATGCAAGAAAGAATAGTAAGCAAAGATATAAATATGTGGGTAAATCTATTTTTTCTTTTTTTGCTGAAGAAGATTTGCCCTGAGTTAACACCTGCTGCCAATCTTCCTCTTTTTGTATGTGAGCCAAACCCACAGCATGGCCACTGACAGATGAGTGGTGTAGGTCTGTGCCCGGGAACCGAACCCAGGCCACCAAAGCGGAGCATGCCAAACTTAACCACTAGGCCACCAGGGCTAGCCCTAAATATGTGGGTAAATCTAAAATGTTGAATGTATAAAATAACAAGAATAATGTCTAACTTTTTGGAGGACATCAGGTAGAACTATAGAATTGCAAAACGAGAATATAAGTTGGGAAGGGGGTGATTAAGAGTTAAAATGCTTAAGGTTCTTGTGATTAAAAATAACTAGAGTAATTGCTAAAAGAATAGATGTACACTGTATAATTTCCAAACAAGTAGAGGAAAAAAAGATGTCAAAAAGTAAAATTTAGGGGCCAGCCTGGTAGCATAACAGTTGAGTTTGCGTGCTTCGCTTCAGCGGCCCAGGGTTCACCAGTTTGGATTCCCAGCACAGACCCATGTCCCACTTATCAAGCCATGCTGTGGCAGGTGTCCCACATATAAAATAGAGGAAGATGGGCACAGATGTTAGCTCAGAGCCAATCTTCCTCAGCAGGCAGATGTTAGCTCAGAGCTAATCTTCCTCAAAAAAAAAGAAAGTAAAAATTAAAAAAATCTCAATCAAAAAGAAGATAAAAATGGAGGGGGAAGAAGAAATAGAAAAAATGGGCATACAGAAAGTACATAACACGATGGTAAAAAAAAAATCCAAATATATAAGCAACAATAAAATATTATTCCGCAGTGAAAATAAGTGAACTACAGCTACACGTATCAATATAAGTGAATCTCAAAATCATATTATAAAGCAAAAGAAGGAAATTACAGAAGAATAGTACACGATTCCTTTATATACAGATCAAAAACCGAAAAAAACAAATAATATATTATTAGAGGTATATACATAGAATAAAGAAAAGTAAGAAAATGATTACTTGTGGAAGGGAGGGCTCTAATTGGGAAACTGTACTGTAACCTTCTAAGATTCTGGCAATATTCTATCATTGAGTTGCGTCATGGGTACACGAGTATTTGTTTTGCTTTAATTCTTTCACACACATACATACACACTCCACACACTCTTTTGTAGATATTTCACATTTAAAACTTTTTAAAGGCATACAAGTATATAATACACTTCTATTCATGTAATATACACACTGGTTCATATACAGAAAATCATTTCTAGACAGATAGAGATGAAACTGTTAATTGTCCTTGAGGAGCAAGGCCAAGGTGTTGAGAGAGGAGGAAGTCTTACTTTTAACTGTATACCCTCTTATGTACTTTTTTTAAAAAACCATGTGCATATTCATATTTAGTTACATTAATATAAAATGATCACCTACATATTACTTTATCCTCCCTCAAAATAATTGTACATATTTTAATATTACCTTATTATAAAGCACCTCATTGTCAAACCTATTCAGGAGTCAAATCATGTCTTCTGTGAAACTGCATAAAGTAATTTCTTACTTTAGTATCCTTGATAGTTCTCAGTGAGGGGTAGACAGAGCCAAAGGTTGGCCCCTTTCATGCTTGCTAAGTGAAACATGGAAAATCTATAATGTATTATGGTACTATGACATCAGGATTACATCAAGATTCTATTCTAGATTAACAATTTTTCAGTCTCAATGTGATGAAATATCTGTATCGCATACATGTAAGTTATCTTCTAATTTGAAATTAACTAGTTAGATTTTCCTGGAGCAGAGTTCATTTCTTTTGCATAATAGCTACGTTTATTCAAATAAAGAATTAAGAAGCTGTCATATGTTAGCCACTGAAGGATGCAAAAAAAGGTAATATACAGGTTTCTTGCCCTTAAGGAGCCTACAGTCAAGTAGAAGAGGCAAGTAAGTATGAAACAAATAACTGTAAAAGAGAATATGAAGAATGACAATAGAAGTTAGAGTGTTATAAGAATATATACAAAGGAAAAGAACTTGAGTTAGAATTGTGGCTGAGAAAATATTTAATGAGAAGAACTATTGAGTCAGGCTATACAAAAAGTATGATTAGATATAAAATGGAAATTATGATTCATGTTATTTTTAATATGTATCATATAATACAACATGCAATGCAACCGCATAGACTACTACATAGTGTAAGCTGACACAGTGCTTTACTGGTAATAACTTTACAAAAAAAGTCAAACAAATCCACTTTCAAGCATCCAGTAAAATTTAAACTAAAGCTTCTTTTGGTTTGTTTTTAATTTTCAGGTGAGAAAAAACTACAAAATAGATAGTGCATCAACATACACATATCATACAATACTAAGAGACACGTAAAAAGCAATATGGCTTAGTGGTCAGTGGCTGAATTAGACCACTGGCAACTCACACCTGAATTTGCGCCCCAGCTCTGCAGCTTACTAACTTTTGTGATCTTGGAAAGTACTTAATCTTCCTAAGTCTCAATTTCCTCATCTGTAAAATGGGGATAATTTAAAAATGTATCTCATAGGGGAGGTTCAATGAACTTACAAAAAACATTTTTGTGGTCCCTGTACATCATATCCAATATCAGCTAATACTATTATATTCTTCCAATTTAGCAATCAGCACCAAATTTTATACTAAGTTCATTTTTCCGTATGCATGGGGAAATTTGTCTCCTGATTACATGCAGAGATGAGTTTCTTCTAGTCCTATTTCTTGAATCACACTTTGATTCTGAATTAAACAGACTTTGAGTAAAAACTTACTCTTCAGTGCTAACAGCTGTTGTGGTATTCAACAAAGTTAGTATGAACTGTCTAATATAAAGTGAATGGAAGAACTGGAAAACAAATTACATTCCTTGGTCACAGTTTAGTGTGTAGAGTAAAACAGTTAGTGGATACTAAAGGTATCAGATATGAATAACTCCTGATATACAATGAGTACGTCCAAAGCATTTTCCACAAACTATTCAATGTAAAAGGACAATGATGATGATGACTTTTACTATATATTAACTGGAAATTTTAAAAGAATACTTTGGTTTTTAAAAAAGATCTAAGTCCAAAAGAGGAAAATTTGGGATAATTTATATGGAGTACTTTGAAAAATGTAAAGGTACAATACAAACTCAAGTGGAATACTGAGTAAATGTTAGGTATGTAGCAGGATAAGATCAGTGAAAAGAATATAAAACTATCCTATTAAAGTAAAAAACCTAGTTTTTATACAGGAAAGCCTTGTGCAAAGATATATATCTTGTTTTAAACCACCTCTGTTTTAAATAAGGTATCGTATATATTATAATTAACTACCACAAAACTCACTTAGTAGAACAAAGCTGTAGTAATCAAAACAGCATGGTACTGGTACAAAAACAGACACACAGATCAATGGAACAGAACTGAAAGCCCAGAAATAAAACCACACATCTCCGGACAGCTAATCTTCGACAAAGGAGCCAAGAACGTACAATGGAGAAAGGAAAGTCTCTTCAATAAATGGTGTTGGGAAAACTAGACAGCCACATGCAAAAGAATGAAAGTAAACCATTATCTTACACCATACACAAAAATTAATTCAAAATGGATTTAAGACTTGAAGGTAAGATGTGAAACCATAAAACACCTGGAAGAAAATATAGGCAGTATACTCTTTGACATCAGTCTTACCAGCATCTTTTCAGGTACTATGTCTACTCAAGCAAGGGAAACAAAAGAAAAAAACAAATGGGACCACATCAGACTAAAGAGCTTCTGCAAGGCAAAGGAAACCAGGAACAAAATGAAAAGACAACCCACCAACTGGGAGAAAATATTTGCAAATAGTATATCTGACAAGGGGTTAATCTCTAAAATATATAAAGAACCCATACAACTCAACAATAAAACAAACAACCCGATCAAAAAATGGGCAGAGGATATGAACAGACATTCTTCCAAAGAAGATATACAGATGGCCAACAGTCACATGAAAAGATGTTCAACATCACTAATCATTAGGGAAATACAAATCAAAACTACAACAAGATATCACCTTATACCTGTTAGAATGGCTATAATTACCAAGACAAAAAATAAATGTTGGAGAGGCTGTGGAGAAAAGGGAAGCTTCATACACTGCTGGCAGGAATGCAAACTGGTGCAGCCACTACGGAAAACAGTATGGAGATTTCTCAAAAAATTAAAAATAGAAATACCATATGACCCAGCTATGCCACTATGGGGTATTTATCCAAAGAACTTGAAATCAACAATTCAAAGAGACCTATGCACCCCATGTTCATTGCAGCATTATTCACAATAGCCAAGATATGGAAGCAACCCAAGTGCCCATCAACTGATGAATGGATAAAGAAGATGTGGTATGTATATACAATGGAATACTACTCTGTCAGAGAAAAAGATAAAATGTCCCATTTGCAACAACATGGATGGACCTGGAGGGTATTATGTTAAGTGAAATAAGCCAGACAGAGAAAGACAAACACCATATGATTTCACTCATATGTAGAAGATAAACAAACACATGGACAAAGAGAACAGATTAGTGGTTACCAGAGGGGAAGGGGGTTGGGGGGGAGGGTGGGCATAAGGGGTAAAAGGGCACATATATATGGTGACTGACAAATAATAACGTAACCTGAAATTTCACAATGTTATAAACTATTACTAAAATTTTAAAAAATCACTTAGTAGAAAGCATACTTACAGAGCAGTAAAGAAATTTATCCTGGTATGCTCATTTATAGTAAATTTAGCCCTCTTGAAATAAACAAAGGTCATAGCCAAAAGATACTATGGGGAAAAAAGTTAAAAATTAATATTAACGTTTTGCTTTCATAAGTAAAACTGCTTTAAAAGTTACCTTTAAGATGAATAATAAGCTAAAACAATAAAGGATTATTTATCCTTATTATAGAATTATCTATTTGAGTCCTTATTTTTTGGCTTCTTGTAATCCATGTGAACAGTGAGAAATAGTTCTGGACTATTTATCATGATTAAGATTATAACTAGAATTAACTCCTAAATTTTATTATTGCCAATATTTTTTTAACCAAAACCCAATATATAGAGAAGCTGAAATAATAATAAAACAAATAACCATAGATCTTTCACCCAGATTCACCAGTTAACATGTTGCTACATTGGCTTGATGTATGTGTATATACAAAATTTTTTTTCCTGAACCCTTTGACTTAGTTGCAGACATCCATACTCTTTTTAAAATAATCTTTTAAAAATAACTTCTAATCAGAAATTAGAATAACTTGGCTCTATTGTCATTGGAAAAAAGTGTTTTAAATGTATTATTAGAAAGACACGTCTAGCTTGATATTAGGACACTATGCCAGGTTCTGCCTGTTCAAATGAAAAACAAGTTGTACTACTGATGTATTAGATTCCCTCCCTCAAAATGCCTCTTCATGCTAACTTCACAAGATTGGTGACAAAGGTGATTCCAAGTTTTCAAGGTAACTTTCAGTAGAGGTCTTTTGAAACTGTTAAGATTCAGTGCTCCTGGTTAGTTACTTTTAAAGCACTGCCCTCTGCTGTCCAACAACTTTAATTACTGTAACGCACTTAAAACTGTAACAGTTTAAAACTTTACAACTCCACAAAAACTGGATATTTGATCTTAAGGCATTACTGTTAATTTTTAAAAGTGTTACTGACATTGTGATCATGTTTAAAAAGATCTTGTCTTTTAAGAGATACATCTTGAAATATTTATGGATAAAATGTTAGGATGTCTGGGATTTGCTTCAAAGTAATCCAGTTTTGGGGAGATGGATTAAAAGAAACAAGAATGGCCATGAGTTGATGATTGTTGTAGCTAGATGACAGGCACATAGAGGGTCTTTGTTCTATTCTCTCTACCCTAAGTTGTATATGTTTGAAATTTTCCAAAATTAAAAAGTTTCTCTGATTTTATTTTTGCTATCTTAAGCTTGAAATAAAAAAGTTCACATCAATATTAACTTGTTGGGTATTTAATCACTAGCTAATCTTCTGTTCATTCCATTTTCTGTTGGTTGGCACATTAAGTGTAATGTGAAGTCATGTGGAATTTTCTGATAGGACTCCCTGGTCTAAGATGGTATTTACAAAGCTGAAATCAGAACTGTTCACCTAAATCTAAAGAGTATAGAAACATCATCATCCCTAGTATGTAAATTAGCATCATGATGTTTTTTGTGAAACACTGATCCTTAAAGACCAAGATAAACTAATTTTACTTTATGATTTATCTAAACTACCTTCAAAATATTAAAATGTACAACAGACTGCCTTAGTAGAATGAATCACAGAATATTCTTTCTCCACAGCCTGATAAAAGGTAATAATTCTGATCAAAACATATTAAGTCTACACAGATTCTTGTTTTCAATCAAACAGATATAGACTTAAGGTCATTTAAATTTATCAATAATACTCTACAACTCCTCAAGTATAGAATGAATCTATAGTGTATGCTAATTTCAAAAATTAGTGTGTAAGGATTTCACTTTGAAGGAGCAATGTAGGCTAGTTCTTTTCCTAACCTTAATAAGGTAGAAAATTTTTATAAGGTTTTGTTAAAGTTCTGGTGGTCTAGTAATATAATAATGCTGGTTAATGATTATATTGTTACCAAATTTACCTTGTCTGCAATCTTACAGCAGCAGTCCATCCACAAGAAATCTTGAATTAAATCATCATCTACAACAAAAGATAGCTATGACTTGTCTTTTAAAAATAGATTGTTTCCTTTTGAAGAATTAATTTCTACATAAGGAGATTATAAATGACGATTAGATATCAAACAAACTGGACCAGTGTTGCCTAAGGTGTAATTTTGAGTTCTTTGGTATATTTACCATTGCAAGCACTGTACAAAAAGCTATTGCTTTATTCTTTGGCTTTCCATCTGATTTGCCTTAATATATTAGCTAAGACTGGAGGGAGAATGTTAGAAGTGTTTGGTTTACTAAATATTCCAATAGCTCTTTGAGAAATATGTGTCGGGTAACTCTAGATTAGCTCTTTATTACTTTCCAAAATCAATCTTTAACAGGTGGAAATGGAATCTGATAAAAGATAACTCAGTCTTTAAGAAATAATGACTTAATGAATACTTTGTTTTCTAAATATGTTTTACTTTTTCTATTACTTTCTCCTTTGAGGTCCCAGGGTATTTTTTTAGTTTTGGATTCCTCTGCTCTCCTCCTATTTATCTCTATTATCCAAATACAAATGAAAATGTCTATATAAAGAAGATTCATAATTGATTAGTTACTTAACACTTAATTTAGGAAAAACTGAGTATTATAACAAAAAGATCAACAAACAAAAATACTGTTAAAAAGATGTTAGCTCAGGGCCAATCTTCCTCACCAAAAAAAAAAAAAAAACTTGTTAAAAAAAGGAATAACATCCAAAAAGTAGGTCAAAACACTTATTTCTATTTTAAAAGGAGAAAATATATAATCCCAAAATATATGGGTAGTTGTTGGAATATAATCTGAGGAAATCTACTTTTTTCCAATGTCCCCTTCATTTTAAGTAACAAAGCATAACTTTATATTTTTACAACCTAGAAATATCATCAAAAAAGCCAAATGTATGGAAAGTTCCAAGAATAAGTACTGATTTTCTGAAAAAATTTCTGCCTTGTTAATTCTATTTCTATTTCTTAAATTACCGAAAATGGTAGAGCCAGGTATTTTCTTGTTTTAGCATGATCAGTTATGATTAATTAAGTTTCTGGGTAAATTATTTTGCTCTACTCTTAAGAGGGAAACTTGTATTAACAGCATTCTAGATCCTGACAGGGAACATCCTTACAGTTCAACATTTTTCTACTTATATTACTTAGATCTTTTTTCTTCTTCTTATCTCATCTTCTTATTTTGCTTTTCTTTAAATATTAACCAGCTTTCCCTCTTTTATTTTTATTTTTTTTAAGATTTCTGTCCTCTCAGCGGGGCAAATACTCTTATCCCCATCCCTCTCCTCTTACATGCATCTGCCATCCTCTAGAAACAAGGAATCCTGTTACCTGGGTCTACCAGACTGTGTTATCTACTTGACTTGATTTATTCCTGCAGATATTTACCAGATTCCATCTATCCTACCCTTTATTCTAATCTGTCTACCTCATTACCTTACTTAAAAAGAAAATCCCTTCTCTTTCTTGGCCAGGAGAAGTACTATAAAAAAGTTTCTTTTGGGCTATTTTTTAAAAATTTATCAGCAAAGTAGCACTGTCTGATGATCTGAACAAATTCAAACTCAATTTCATAATATGAATATGATGATAAAGCATAGTTAATTTTGGACAATATTTCCCAGATAAAATACTGAAACTTCTCTAGACTGACTAACATTTCCATAGTTTGCTCAGTTTTAGCACTGAAAGTCCTAGGAAACCCCTGAGGCCCAATCAAACTGAGTCAGTTGGCTTACCTGAGACTTTATGTAGTATTTTATTTTAAGTTAAACAAAACTCATGCTATAAACTTGAGTTGCCTAGAATTTACATTTGACACTTGGATTTAAGTAGTCTAGAAGCTAAGTGAGTCTAAATTTCTAATCCAAAAGCAATCAAAAGATGGAAAATCTGACACAGAAAACAAGAGCATCCTCTTTGGTTACTATGAAAATGATAAAATAAATCTTTACATTCTCTCATTTTTAAGTACTTTACAATTACCACTATTATAATATTTTAAACCTACCAAATAATTTAAAGAAAGCAGTCATTTCCTGACGCTGTATAACTAGACAGGGTCCTTTGGGGCGTTTAGACTTTTTGCTATTATGTGCATTTTTTTCAGATGCTGGCCAACTATCTTTAAAAATAGGACGCTTCAGATTAACAGTTTTTTTAGGCTGATGTGATCTATTTGACCCTGATTTTACATGAACAGTGACAGTAGGTGGTGTCTCACAACACAGCTGATTATGCCTCATTTTGGTTTCCCAAGATTCCTGTAAAAATAAAACATACAATTATTTATCACACTCGTTCATTTCTATATAAAAACAATTGAATGACACTACCAGATGCAGTCATATGAAATGTTACTAAGCTTGTTACTAAAATGTTATCTGTGACAGTGACTCACAAGAGAAATTGCTTTTAAATTCAGTGCCAAGAAAAGCTGTGGGTAACTAATATGCCTCCTCTTCCCAAATAATAAGATCCTGCATAGTATTTTGCTTTGACAACAAGGGAACTCAAAACCAAATGTGAAAGTTAATTATAGAAACTGCTGAGTTTATAATCTATTTGTGATATTATTTTTTCCTGATAATTTTTTATTTTGCTTGTTTTTCTTTTATAAAGATTGGCACCTGAGCTAACATTTGTTGCCAATCTTCTTTTTCTTTTTTTCCTTCTTCTCCCCAAAGCCCCCCATATTCTGCTTGTTTTGACATAATTTTATCATATGGTTCTTATATGCCACCTCCAATTCTTTATAGAACAAGGCAAACTATTTCCAGAACTAAATTATTATCAATATCGTGTTATATTAAAAAACAACCCCCCCCCCCACAAAAACATATTTTATTACTGGTAAATTCCTTGATATGTTACAAAATTCACTTATTCAACAAACATTTATTGGTATTTATTAAAAAGTTAAAAACAATTTTAGCAAAGAAATATATGGTATATGTGCTTTGAGGGAGTCTCATACACTGATCACTCTAATTTTTAAAGTTCTGAGTGCATGACCATTATATTTGAGTGGCTGATTATAAGTGTACATGAATGTATAGTGTTATAATCGAAAAAAATTTGAAACAGTTAATCCATCAATATTTAACAATATGCATAATCAGTATCATGTTTGGTGGTAATCAGTTCACGTAGTTACTACAGTCATTACTTTTGTGGTCAAAGTATTTATAGGGCAATAGGAAGTGAAGGTATGAATAAGCAAAGCAGGAAACTAGTCTAAGACCCTAATGAGAACCTCTGAATCCATAACTCACAGTGACCCAGGCAGCCATGCCTCCCTTGGTGTTCAAAGAGTTAGGTACAGATTCTCCTTCCTGACCCTCAGAAACTTCCCTGCTGAAGGAAGGAATGGAAAATAAGATTGGATACAGTGGGGCTAGATCAGTACTGTCGAATATAATGTGAGCCACATAGGTAATTTTCTATTTTTAAAGCCACATTAAAATAGTACAAATAAACAAGTGAATTTATTTTAGTAATAAAATTTATGTAACCTAATATAATCCAACATATTATTTTAACATGTAATCAATATAAAAATTAATGAGATATTTTATTCTTTTTTTGTGTACTAAGTCTTTGAAATCTCACATGTATTTACACTTACAGTGTATCTCAATTTGGATGCTAAATTTCCAACAGTTAAAGTGAAATACAGTCCTACCAAATTAAGTAGCTGTAAGGGAAAAATATTTTACACTCCTTCAGTATTTAATTTTAAATTAAAATAAAAATTCAATTCTTCAGTTGCACCAGCCACATTTCAAGTGCTCAATAGCTACCCTATGGGTTAGGCTAGTGGCTACCCTATTAGACAGTACAGGGCTAGATTATGAAGAATGGGCAGAGGAAATTCTATTCAGTTGATTCTCTAATTGCTTCTCTTCCCTCTATTTTGCTTCCCTCCTCTCTCCCCATCTTTCTTCCTAGATCCTAAGGTCCAACCAAATTGAAGGCAATTATGGAGTTGGGGGTAGGGGTGCTACAGGTGCCACAGAAAAAGGAATGGGTGATAAATTGAGCCCTGAGACTTGTGTAACAACTTTCTGCTCTTTCCTACCCACCTCATCTGGGAGACAGCTGGAGGCCTCATCTGCATCTTTTTTCCTGAAGCAAGAGCAGCCTTACAATCTAGATGGAAAAAACTAAATAGTCAGGCTTCTCAAATTGGGGAGGGAGGGGTGTGTGTGTGTGGGTTACGCTTGGGTTGGAATGTATCAGAATATAGAATAACTGTGGAATATCTACCAGGAGGTAAGATTTACTCAATGTTAAGTAACTTAAAATAGTGTTGTTATGCTAAAACAACCATGGATATATCATGAAATAGGATGCAAATTTTCTATGAATCAAAAAATAAATATCATGCTCACAGTATAGCTTTACACTGTTTCACTAAACCCTTATGTATGTGTTGGGATGTTTCCTATAAAATTGGAGAAAACAGAAAGAGAAGGAAATACCTGAAATTCCCAAAATAGAGATTCATTGAGGTTAACGAGCAAACACTGGCAGGAGTTATGGAGAAGGAGCTTAAGGAGAGAAGCTATTAATGCTACCTTCTTGGTCAAATTGCACCTTGAGGTAGCTTTTAAATTTTGCTCTTCATTTAGATATAACAAGAGAATTAGGGGTTCGATGGCAAGCAAGAGGGAAAGAATGAAAGGCAAATTAAAATATGGGCCATTTCAGGGAAGGGCAAGAGATAAGGAAGGAGGGGGAACTACGAGAAACTATGCTCATACGGCAAGATCCTTTACTGAGTTTTTACATGGACTCCACCACCATGAAAAAAAATCATACCAGAATTCACACTTGAATAGGATGCCTAGGATTTTTTTTTTTTTTGGTAAGTAGACCACAGCTAATGTATAGGCATCTAAAATAATTTCTTCTCTCTAGGGGTAATATAAAGAGTGACAGGGTGGGTGTTCACAGAATCATACAATAGAAGTAGTAGTATAGGGATTCATCTGCCTATATGAAAAATCTAATAGCAATACCCACTGGCAATTCAGGGCAGGCATGTAAGCCTTAACTTCTTTAGAACTGCTTCACACCAAGCACTTAGTATGTGCCAGACACTATTCTAAAAGTTTTACATGTATTATCTCATTTAATTCTCAAAACATTTCTATAAGGTGGGTACTATTGTATCCTTATTTTCTAGGTAAGAAGTTGGAGGCTTAGGGAAGTTAAGAAATTTGCCCATGGCCACATAATTAGCGAGTGATAAAGCTGGGACTTGAATCCAGGACTGTCCCACACCAAAGCCCCCTATTCTTTAACCACTAAAGAATTGTTTTAAAGATTAAAATACTTGACACACAGTAAGCGGTCCGATATTACTTACTGCATTCCTCCCCAGGAAAACAAACCCAGCTATAAGTGAACATTAAAAAAAAATTATTCTAGCATTTGCAGTGTAAATGGGCACAATAAATTGTGACTTGGTTAAATAAGCCATCGCTGCGGGGAGGAAAGGTGGGCTTATCACCTTTTTGCTAAAATAAAATAACTCTTAAAAAAGAATCCTTATTGAAATGACTAAAGCATTTTTTTCTGTCATAACCACAGAATCTAATTATTGAAAAACAATACAGCAAATTTAGAAAAAAATATTGTGGCAAAGTAGTTGGAAGCTTTGCCGGGGCTGTTCTCAAATCTCCACTCTTCTGATGCTTTAAAGATTTTTTTTCTAATTTAACTAATCATCTAACGGCTGTAGCACACTTAGCCTCAGCCAAGGGCTAGGTGCTGCGGCGTCTGTGCAGTTCCACGCGCAGCTGCCTCAGTAAGTTCAAACCTGACGAGACATCCAAGCCATGGGTGGACGGAGCAGCTCCCCTCGCCGGAGTGGGGGCGACTCGGAGCCTGGTGGACAGAACGCGGGGAGCGGGAGCTGGAACGGGTGAACGCCTCCCTCCGCTTGTTAGACGCGGCGGGGATGAGAAAGAGGAAAGGAGCGGCAGCCCGAAGGACAAGTCAGGCGAGGGTGCTCTAAGACCAGCGCTCTCGGGCGCGCCTGGGGCGGCAGGAGCAGAGCCCGCGGAGGCCCCTGGGAACCCCCGCCCAGACCTGCAGCGAGAGCCGGCGTCTCACCGCGACCTCGCGCCGCGACACTGCGGGAGCCCCGTCTCCTCCCCTAGGAGCTCGGGGTAACGAGAGGATTTTTAAAAGTGCTCCGTTAAAGAATAAAATTTGTAGACAAACAGGATCTGACTTCTAACACAGCATGGGTTCATCAGCCTTTAAATGTTAAATTACTTCGAAGGCTTCTTTTTGTCTGTTTGAATGAAGCTGGTTGGTCTCCAGCCGTCGAGAGAAGGCAGGGAGGCCACGTGTGGCGCCGAGAGCCGGCTCGGGACACAGCGTGTCCGACGGGACCCGAGCTGGGAGGCCGGGCCGGGCCACTCCGCAGGGCCCTCTCCGCCGGGCGGCCCGTCCTGGTCCCGTCCCCGGCCCGGCCTGCCGGCCAGCACGACCTAAGCCGCGAGGCGAGGAGCCGGCGACAGCCCCTGCGAACCCGAGCGCGGCCCCTCGTCGCCCCCGCCCGCCCGCTCAAGCACAGCCCGAAGGAGCTGGGAGGGAGTGCTCCAGGCGCAGCGAAGCACCTGAGGGGACTCATGGACAGAAGCGTGAGGGGAAGGGGCCAAGGCCGCCACACTCTCACACGCCGGGGGCGGCGGGGCTGGGGACGAGCGGGAATGGGGGGACCAGGCGCAGCCGAAAGCGGAAAGCCGCCGGCGAGGCGCGGGCGGAGGTACCTGCCGAAACCTGGGGCTGAGGAGCGGGGCCGAGCCAGAGGCCGGCCTCCAGCAGACGCTCTCGGACCTCAGACGGTTGCTCGCTGGTCGCTACACAGCCGCAAGCCCCGCCTGGAGACCTCCCGCCAACCCGGAGCGAGGCCGGCGCGGGCCAATCAGCGCGCGGGGTCCGCCGCCGGGGGCGGGGCCGGCCGGAGGCTGCGCGCGCCGCGTCTCCGGCTCCCGGCCGCCAGCCGGCTGCGACCGGAGTCCCCGCCGCTGGCAGAAGTTCTACCGTTGGGCTGCTCTGCTTACCCTCCCGGCAAGGCCCTGGCAGAGCGCCTTGGCCCTCCCACATCTCCTCTTGCATCCTAATGTAACCCCTTTCCTTGGACACTTATCAAAGCCAGGCTAGTAGTAGAACCATTAATCTTCCCTCCAGCTAGATGGAGAGGCCCCCAGAGCTGGGACTTCAGGTCTTACCTCACCTCCCCGCCCCGGCACGGCTCGGCGCCTTGCACTCACACGGGCGGGAACTCGGCGCCTTGCACACACACGGGCGGGAACTCGGCGCCTTGCACACACACGGGCGAGAGCTCGGCGCTTTGCACACACACGGGCGGGAACTCCATAAATGGAGAGGTCAGTAGCAGGACAGAGAATCAGAAGTGAACTTCGCAGCAGCAATTATAATGTGTATTCAATTACTGCTATTTAAAAATAATTACATAAACAGAGGAAGAGACCACTTCCAACTAAAAAAGAAAGGTGTGAATACCGCAGCTCTTCGTGGGAAGGGTTAATGTTACTCTATTCTGTTAAATCTACTGTTCTAAGCTGTAAATTCTACAGGTACCTTTTCTTTTTGGCCTCATCCTAGCCTTTGGCCTGGTGCCTGGGATGTAGTAGGTGCTTAATAAATGTTTGTTAAACGAATAAATAAAAGGCTTCTTCATAGCTTCTTAATTTTTTCTGTGACATGATTTCCTCTTCACTTCTCTTTTACCTGATGTGTAACCTCCTTTCTCCCCGTTTTTTACATGTTGCTACAGTCTTTCTAGGTATTTTTAGTGAATGCACAATACTCCAGAATGGGTGGCCAAATTTAAATCATTTTTATATTTGGATTGCTTCCAGATTTTTCAGCTGTTATAATTACTACACTTAAAAAGCAATTTGGCCTTGCCTATTTGTGGTACTAACCCAGCAATTAGTTCTTTGGTCAGCAACTGAAGAATAAATGTATTAGTTCTTTCTTGGGCTCTCACATAGCGAAATGATGGCAAAATCACCTACAAGGAAGATAACAGTGCAATCTGGTAACTCATTTTTCCTTACAAATGCCTTTGACATTTCCCCCGTGGCCCTTAAATAGAGGGGCAGATCAAGAAGCATCAACTGGTTGTGAAAACTTTCAATATTGATTCTCCTAGGAAAATGACTGCTTCAAACCTCATCTCTCATTCCCTGGTTCTTCTCTTTTTTCCCTCAAGGTATCAGGGTTTACCGTGATTACTAGTTTTCAGTCTTGAGTACAGAATGTTTACTGAACAATGAATGTTTACTATATGGAAGGCACTGTCACAAAATGGGAGGCAAAGTAGTAGGCAATGATGAATACGACATGGCCCTACCTTTCTAGAACTTTCTAGACAGATACACAAATAACTGAAATATAAGACACAATGAGTTGTGCCATGAGAGAGATGCAAATATAATGCAAATGTAAAGTACAGTTAGGAGGGTACTCCTTAGGATCCCAAAATTTTCACAGGAATTTGTTTTTACTTAAGCGAAATTTGCACACACAAGTCAGCAAATACACACAGATGTTAACCAAGCTATTGGAGAAGCAGCTTATCACTTAAGTTTTGGCTTCAAGTTAAGGGTTACTACCAGCGAGGCCTTCATGAGTGTTCTCATTCTTAAGTTTTTTACTATGTTGGGCCTGTGACATACAAGAAAGAAAATGTACTTTAGAATCACAGACCTGGTTTGAATATAAGCACTTCCATTTTACCAGCTCTATGAATGTGGGCAAATTACTTAACCTCTGTATGCTCAGTTAAATGTAAATGTGGGGGGCCGGCCCCAAGGCCGAGTGGTTAAGTTTGGTGTTTCACTTTGGTGGCCCCAGGTTCACCGGTTCAGATCTGGGCGTGGGCCTACGCACCGCTCATCAAGCCATGCTGTGATGGCCTCCCACATAGAACTAGAATGACCTACAACTAGGATATCCAAGTACATACTGGGGCTTGGGGGAGAAAAAAACGTAAATGTGGGATACTATCTCCTTTGTAAGAGTGTATGGGACATACTGTGTCTAGCAGGGGACTGGCACATAGCAGGCATTTAATTCCCTTCTTGCCTCCTTCATTTGATCTGGAACTTGCATAACTCCTCAAGCATTTATTTAAGTGAACAGCCTCTGCGATATTGTCTACAGTCCCTTTCCTCTTCTTATCCATCTAGTCGACCATCTCTAAATATGGCTTTATTATTCCCTTACTAAAAAAATCATTGATGATTGCCCACAGCCCACACTGCCCTGTACTGGGTTGTCTGCATTGCCTCTTTTGTCCCCATTCTACTTTCAAATATACTGCCCCACTTTTATCCGTTAAGAATTCTTTACTCCAGACTTACTAACATACTTGCTTTTCTCTGAGCATGTCTTGAACTTTCCCACTTCTTTGAGCTTGCATATATTGTCTTCTGTCTTCATCACCTTCACTTAAATTTTCTATCTGGTATCCATCCTTTAAGATCCAGCTTAAGTCAGCAGCCAGTCATTTGAGTGCTTAACAAGTGCAGGGCTCTGTGCCACTCTTAAATTCTTACAGCACTTTCTAAAGTTCTGCTTTATGTACTCTTATTAACCAGCTATCTTTTTTATAAAACATTATTTTTATTATGTGTACGTATAGATACAATTTTACATAAATGGGATTGCATACACACTTTAAAAAATGGAATATTTGATATGTACAAAAGAATGTATGTAACAGATATGCAGCCTAAAGCATAATAAAAACTAAACACTACTTACCAAAAAAGCATGAACATTCAAGAAATAAAACATATAGTACTGTCGAGATTCTGTATGCTCCTTCTTCTCCCCTTCTCTGAAGAGCTTTTGTTTTTCCCATTCCTTTTTCTTTAGATTTACCCTAAGTATCCTTAAGTACAAATCTTGTTTGTAAATTTAATACTCTTCGTATTCTTTATGTTTAACTTTTAGACATGCTAATGCATGACCCTTTCAGCATGCATCATTTTCAGTGCTGTATAGAATTCTATGAATGTACCATAATGTATCAATGCTCCTGTCAATGGTAGTATTTATTTATAGTTGGCACAGGTTCTGATTAGTTGGTAGTCTAATCGGTCGGTTCCCATCTTTTAAAGTCAAATATTTTGACTACTACTTCTGCTCATATACACTCCACGGTGCACACGTAGTTTTTAATAAATGCTTTAAAGTGAAACTGATGGGTTTTAGGGCATACACATTTTCAACTTTACAAGATTATGAATGCTTAATTTTCTAGATAGTTGCTACTAGTTTTTAAGAGTTCCTATCAGTCTACATCTTGTCAATTTCATATTTCAGACTTTTTATGACTAGATTATCTTTTGAAGTATATCACAGAGGACAGCTTTGGATTTTTTCAGTGTCCCTTTTCTAGGAAACGTTCTACTCAACCTCCCAAACCACTTGGGTACAGAAGTAGCAGCCACATTCCTGCAATATCACCTTTCCCCTTCCTCATTCATTCAGGTCATAAGGGCCCTTCATCCAAGCTGGGACAAATTTCCTTCCTGGAATTTTGCACTAAGACCAAGAATTCAGCCTGGCTGCTGGCTGACTGCTCTTTTTCTTTTTTTTTTTAAAGATTGGCACCTGAGTTAAAAACTGTTGCCAATCTTTTCTTCTCCCCAAAGCCCCCCAGTACGTAGTTGTATATTCTAGTTGTAGTTCCTTCTGGTTGTGCTAGGTGGGACACTGCCTCAGCATGGCCTGATGAGCGGTGCCATGTCGGTGCCAGGGATCTGCACCAGCGAAACCCCAGGCCACCAAAGCGGAGCACGCAAACTTAACCACTTGGCCACGAGGCCGGCCCCCTGACTGCTCTTTTATATGGTAGAGATAAAAACTCTTGAGAAGTATCAGGATAGAATAATGAGCAATCTAATTAGATAAAAGGACCGTATTAAATTTCTCTAGAGTAGTTTTTGCTACTATATCTCTTTTTTGTTCCTTACTAAAAATATCTTTTTCTTGATCTTTTCCCATAGTTATTTCTGCCTACGACATAATCCTTATTTGTTATATTGAGGCAACAGCCTCTACACTTTGAACTTTTGTTTCCTGGTTTTAAGTGTTCATATTTACTAGGTTACTTTTGAAAGACAAAATGTTATACGAACTATAGTATGTTCCTAAAAATGTTTGAAGTGGCTCAGGGGCTGGCCCTGTGGCCGAGTGGTTAAGTTCGCGCGCTCCGC